CGAAACGGTGTTACCTTCAAGCTGTTTTGTCCAAGGCAGATATTTTCAGGAAGGGCCAACTGAGGTTTCGCAGTGATCAACCCCAATCCTACTATAAGCTTCTCATGTCTTCGAAATCGGCAATTCCAGAGATCATGACTGGCAAGGCATCCCAGGAGGCGTTAAACATGCTAGACCCAGATGCGGTGCTGAGCGGGTTGTTGCAGCAGGCTCTTTCTGGGCCTCGAGGGGACGATGGGCGTCGGGGTGCGAGCGTCTCTGGCGATGAGGGGGGGGGGCGTCCAACCTGCTGATGGTGCTGAGGGCGTTTCTGGAGACGAGGGGGGACTCGGGGGGAGGGCACGTGCCCGAAAGTAAATCTATCACCACGGGGGAATGGATGCATGGGGGGAGGATGGATAAGGCACGAACGGGAGATTAGATCAAGTTCCCACTCAGCATGGTGTAAGTCGGTAGTGATTGTGTTTTCGATGTTCGGGCCCACCCCTCTTCTGACCCCCCCCCAGGCGGCGTCTCGGGGGTGTTGGCGCTAATGCCTCTCAGGACTGCTTCCTCCAGATTCTGATGGTTCGGATCCTGAGTCGGTGGACGGTCCAGCTGGCATGGCAGGAGCGCCTATTGTACCAGCCGGCATCATGGGCTGCCCGATCAGAGAGGAAGTGCATTGGATAGGAGAGGGGGCAGGGGGCTCCGCGTCTTCTGCCCAGCTCACGGGCATAAATGCAATACGTACAGGAGCCTCAACTTAGATTTGCATGCTTTCGGTCCCCGTGCTGCTGAGATTTACCTTTCGACATGGCTGAGCAAAGCGCATTCCATGGACATTGGTAGGCATTTTGCGTGGAAGCCATCTGCTGACGACATGCGTGAGTACCTTGAGCAATGAGCAGCAGAGGCGGCTAGGCAGCATCATCATCATCATCATCATCATCTTCATCATCGTAACCGTCGCCATCCTCACCAATGCCATCCTCGCAATCACCACCGTCATCATTACCATATTCACCGTATTCCCCTGGGTATCGCTGACATGGCTGTCACCGTCAACATCAACATCTCACGCATCCGCATCGTCATCACCACCATCACCACGCCCAGCACGCACACTCGTACTGGCACGAATCGTCACCACCATCGCCGTCAACAGCGCAGACGTCGTCATCACCACCTTGCCCCAAACGCGACAGACGCACAACCGAACACACGACATCCTAAATACTTTTTTGTTTCACGCGCTGCTGCGGCAGACGAACAGATCTGGCTAAAAACACCTCGTAGGGACCGTGCGACATGCGTCGCTGGCACGCTGCTTTCGCTCCCGCTCAATGGTCGGTGTGGTAGTGGGCGGCCGCCGCCGCCCCTATAACCGAATTAAACGCAAGTTGCGCCGACGGGTTGCCCCGACGGCGCCCCCGAGCCAAGTGTTCCGGTTGCTAAATGAGCCGCGGCGCCCTCCATGCTCAAAGTACGGGCCCAAATGGCTTGCGCAGCGCAGCTGCCTTCGTTGAGCTGTGGGCGAGCATCGCTGCCAATCGCGCAAATATCTGCGCGAACGCACGTGCGGCGTTCAAGCCCGCGTTCGCGCGAAACGGTAGGTGGGTCGGGTTTGCAAAGTTACGGCGCTCCGCCAAACGAGGGTTTGGCGTCGCGCGCGCGGTGCGCCCGCGCAAGGTCTTACCAACCATGCGGTTGGCCATCGGACCTGCCTTCTGGCTGTGCGACCGCGCGGATGCTGATGTTGACCAGTCAGGCATTGTCGCGGGCACTCTAGCGTTTCACTTTGCGGGGCCAGTCTGACGCCATGGGCGGCTGCCCGATGCTCACTGGGCTGGACAACTATGCGCTGCCTGGTCAGTGCGCTTCATCGATCGGTGGGGTGGCGGCGGCGACGCCCGCGCGCAGAACATGAAATCCGCCGCTGCGTTGCCATTGGCCGCGGGGCGGAAACGCGGCGCAACGCTGATTGGCTGCAGCGCCGATCAACTTTTGCACCATATTTTGGCGGTCGGCTGGGGGGTAACGCAGCGCCGCACGCCAGCTGCGCGCAATGTTGGCGCCCGCAAGTTTTGCACGACAGTCGAGTTGAGGCGTGCGCCCCTCCGCTGCATTGTAAAAACACATACATTGTGCCAAAAGTTGTCGGGGGCAGACATTGGCCGCCCGTCGAGTTGGGAGCTCGAAAATTTGGCGGCCATCGCGACTGCGTTCCGCCGAAGCAAAAATTCATCAAGTGGCGCCCCGATGCCCTGCCCATGGGCCGCAGGACAACGCGTGGACCACGCTTGGACCACGCTTGGACCACGATTGGGCCACGTTTGGACCACGCTTGGACCACGCTTGGACCACGCCTGGACCACTCTGGACCATGCTTGGGCCACGCTTGGACCGCTTGGACCACGCTTGGACCACGCTTGGACCACGCGTGTACGTCGCGACCACGCTTGGACCACCCGTGGGCCACGCTTGGACCACGCTTGGACCACGTTGGACCACCCTTGGACCACGCGTGGACCACGCTTGGACCACGCTTGGGACACGGTTGGACCACGCTTGGACCACGCTTGGGCCGCGGGCCACGCTTGGACCACGCTTGGACCACGCTGGACCACGTTTGGGCCACGTTTGGACCACGCTTGGGCCACGCTTGGACCACGCTTGGACCACGCTTGGACCACGCTTGGACCACGATTGGGCCACGCTTGGACCACGTTTGGAACGCGCTCGGTCAGCCGCGCCCAACGATGCCGAGGTTCGAGCCACGCTTTGGCCACGCTTGGGCCGCGCGCGGACCGCGTGCGGGCGGCGCTTGGCCCACGGTCGGACCACCTATCGCGGGCCCCAAGCGATCATCGGGAGTCTTGGAGCACGTTTGGGCCACGCTTGGACCACGCTTGGACCGCGCTTGGACCACGATCGGACCACGCTTGGACCACGCTTGGACCACGCTTGAACCACGTTGGACCGCGCTGGGCCAGCCGCGCCCATGGCCGCCACGGCATGGATCACGTTTGGGCACCGTTTGGGCCGCGCTTGGGCCACGCTTGGACCACGCTTGGGTCGCGCTTGTGCAATGATCTGGTTGGACCATCTGGCCAGCGGAGGCGTTGGACCACGTTTGGGCCACGCTTGGACCACGCGTGGACCACGCTTGGACCACGCTTGGACCGCGCTTGGACCACGATTGGACCACGTTTGGACCACGCTTGGACCACGCTTGGGACACGGTTGGGCTGCGCGTGGGCCGTGGACCACGCTTGGACCACGCCTGGCCCACCGTGGCTGGGCGTTGCATTGCCAGCCAGATGCATTGTGCCACGCTTGGACCACGCATGGACCACGCTTTGGCCACGCTTGGACCGCTTGGACCACGCTTGGACCGCGCTTGGACCACGCTTGGGCCACGCTTGGACCACGCTTGGGCCACGCTGGACCACATTTGGACCACGCTTGGGCCACCCTGGCTGGTCCCCCATCTCGCCATCCGAAGGTGTGGAAAACGTTTGGACCACGCTTGGGCCACACTTGGGCCACGCTTGGACCACGTTGAACCACGCTTGTACCACGCTTGGACCGCGCCCGTACGTCGCGACCACGCTTGGACCACGCTTGGGCCACGCTTGGACCACGCTTGGACCACCCTTGGACCACGCGTGGACCACGCGTGGACCACGCTTGGACCACGCTTGGACCACGCTGGACCACGCTTGGACCGCGCTTGGACCACGATTGGACACGCTTGGACCACCCGTAGACTACGCGTGGACCACGCTAGGGATGCCGTTGGGCTGGTCACTTGGAGCCTTCTGGCGCTTGCTGTCGCTCTCGCATTTGCTTGCGCGTGCTTGCGTTTCGTGGCACCGCCGATGTGGTGCTTTGCGTTGGCGAGTGGCGTTGTATTGCGGTCTGTGGCGATGGTTGGACGGGCGGCTCGGAGGGGGGGGGGGGGGGCGTGCGGTTGACGTAGGATGGATGCGTCGGTGGATGTGCGCGTGGGGGATGAGTCGGCGTGCGCGTGGCGTGGGATGGGGTGCGGTGGTGGTGGTACTGTGTGAAGTGGTGGTGGTGGTGTGCGCGCGCGCGCATGGTTGCACGTGGGAGGGGGAGGGGGGGTGGGGTCCATAGTGCTGTCTTCGTGCTCGGGCATGCTCACAAGTTAAACGTCGCGCCCCCACATGTCGCGCATTCAAGGAGAACGTGTTATCATCGAAAAGACGTCGCACACAAGCCGCGTATGCCCGCACCACCACTGGCAAACCCATGGCCACAAGCCCCACCAGCGGCATGCAAAGAAATTGCAGCGCGTACCAGAATCGGGCGTAGCCTCGCAATGGGTTGCACGATGCTAAATCCTACGCCATCGGGAAAACCACTGCTTAGTGATCGCACGGCGTGTTCGCGCTTAACAGCGGCAAACTTGCAAACCGCACGCACGGCGTGATTCAATTCCTGCGTTGTCTTGCACGGGCCCGATTGTCCTATGTAGCTTGTTTAGGGGCATGTCCGTGTCGTGAGCTTCGGCAACGCGCAAGCCAAGTGGGTGGCTTTGCTCCAGGCAGGCCAGGGGCCGCAACCAACACAACAGCCGACGCCACCGCTGTCGTATCCTCATTTTGGCTCAAACAAGCTTCGCTGTTTCCCTGTGCTGCGCGCGCCAGTTTTGTTTCCACTTTGGCCATTCTGTGGCGCCACTGGGCGAGGTGGACGGCGCGGGCTCCGTGCGCGAATCGGCCCACTCCTCTGGCATCCGAGGGGGCCGAAGTCGGTGTGCTCCTGCGGCCCTCGTCGCCGCGACCGTTTGTCACCTTTGTACGGCATGCAGTGTTATCTACAAGAATTTCCATGGGTTCCCCCTGTGCCAGGATTGCTGGAACATGATACGTTCGAACCATCGGATTCTTCGCAAGAGCGGAGCGCACCTGGTCCAGGAGGACGCGGCCATGATGAGAGACGATCCTGAAGCGTGGAGGAGGAAGCATCCGCCTCCAAGGGGGGGTCTCTCCATGGAGGCCGCCAGAGAGCACGCCATCCGCCAGGCCTACAAGGATACCATCGACTACAGCATCAAAATGAAGCGCTCGGACAATCTGCTCCTCGAGGACGAAGTTGGCTTGACGAAGTCCGAGCACAAGCACGGGAAGAGGAAATACCAATGCGCCGAGCAGGTGTCAAGCGATGAGATCGATGACGAGTTCGACGCGCTGCATGACGAGCAGAGCAAGGAGTACGCCCTGATGGAGAATCGCAGAGGACAGAAGATTGCGCGGGTTGAGGAGAGGCCCAAGCTGCGCAAATTCAGCGGTGAAGAGCGCCAGGAAGGTCACGGCAAGGACGCCAGTGGCGGACACCTGCGGGCACTTGAGGGCGAGGTGCCGTCGCCTGCCGTGAGCCGCTTTCCTCCCCAGCACGCTCTCCCGAAGCGTGCCTCTGGCCCCGCTCGTGGGAGAGCAGCGTGCGCAACTGGCAGCCCAGAGGTCCTGCATGAACCAGCTGCGACTGAAGGGCTCCTCTGGCTTCAGAAACGTGGCGACGTCGTCAGTGACCTCACGGCGATGTCCAACAAGTTCGATGGCGCATCGGGCATGTGCGAATCGATCAAGAAGCTAAAGTCGGACATGGAGACTGAGAAGGCTGACGTGGACAGCTTGCAGCAGTCGCCAGATGACGTGCTCAAGCTCGCGGACAAGCTGAGAGATGATATTAGGAAGGCCATCGGCACCGCCAGCAGTTCTAAGAAGGACACGTTTCAAGTCGAGGTCGAACGGTGCGCTGACTTGAAGCAGCAACTCGTTGCTTTCCGCCCCGTGTTCAACGAGCTGTCGCAGACGTGCCAGTACCTCTTGGCCAAGAAGCGCAGTCAGAAGCGCTCGGACTACATGACTGCGCACGGCCAGAACCAGAGGCTTCAGAAAGAGTTTCTGAGCGGTGGCTTCAACAAGAACTTCGCCAAGTACATGGCGAAACACGTCAATCAGATTGAGATGGCCCTCTCCACGGAGGACACGCAGTTCGACGTGAGGCCATTTGGTGTGTTTATGAACAGCGACCTGACTCCGGACATCTTCAACATGTCTGCGTTTGCTATCTGGGAGGGTTCGCATCAGTTTGCGCAAGACATTGCCAAGCATCTTGACGTCGAGGCCGTGACCAGCAAGGCCGCCAGCGTCAGGAAGCATCGCGATGATAATCCAGCTTGGCAAGGAGCCCTCGGCATGGCCGAGGGCGTGTTCATGAAGGACGTGCTGGCGAAGATGATCGGTGACAACATCGACGACCCCGAGGGCTCGGAGGTCTGGGTCTTCGCCAACCGCAGGGGCTGTCTGCGCGAGCCGCCGCAGGCGATTCCGCTACCAGGTGGGCTTCGGGATAAACCCAAAGGTGAGTTCGAATGCATTGAGCCAACACGAAGTGATGGCTTGCTTGAGGGAGGGATGTGTAGGGAGGCTGGAGAGGAGGAGGAGGGCGCAGGAGGAGGATCAATCCGCTGGGGGGAACACGAGCATCAGCCATTCCCTCCGAGTTATCTCAGCCCCTCCCTTCCTACACCCTCTGATGTCTGTCCGTCGCCCCCTCCCCGATGCCCTCCTCAAGCCGCGCTCCTCAATTATCCGTCCCGTCCTCTTCTACAGTCTACTCTTCTAGTTTTCTCAACCTCCTCACTTCCTCGTTCCTGCCCCCGCCGTCTTTCCTGTCTCGCCGTCCCCTCCAGTCGCCTCCTGATCGTTCTCAGTTTTTGTTGGTTGGTAGAGCATTTGCGAGCGTGCGAACCCCTTGGGCTTATCCAGGGGTCGCGTCCGCCTTCTATAGCATGACCTCAGCGGTGTATTTCATGCTGATGCCCATCGAAACTTTCTTGAGCAAGGGGATCGTTTGGTCAGAGCTCATGTCCCATCTCGAGACGAGCGACGGCCAGAAATTCCTCGGCTAAATGCTCACTGTGCCGCGTGGAAAAGAGGTCCGTCATATACGTGCCCAGGGGTTTTGCTGCAGTGGTTCTGTACGCCCACACCTCCGAGCAGCCAGTCCCTCCACCAATGAAAAGGCCTCGCAGATCGACGACTCCAGCGACGCAGCCTGACGCTGCAGACATCGCCATCTTGCGTGGGGCCCCGATCTATGAGACCCAGGATCCCAAGCACGCCATCCACGCACAGGTGACTGCTGCAGCTTTCCAGTTTAACGATGCTGTCTTCCGGCAGAAAAAGGGCACGCCGCGCTGGGACAAGCGCGCCGAGCTCTTCTCAAAATACTTTAAGCCTGAGGCCTAAGTTGAGCCAGCATTTCAGGTCAGCTTCGCACGACTGTGCACTGGGTTACGGAGGGAGTATGGTGGGAGGGAAGAACAACAGAACGCAAACACGTCGTTCGTTCCTGTGCACTATCCATATGCTCCATATTGAATGCCGCGCCTGTGGCCCGAGAGGCAATTCGAAGGCCTGGACTGGCACGGGCGACAGGTTCCGATGAGAATCATCGGCTTGGCGAGCGCAGCTCAGGAGAAAAAAAAAATCACAAACGAATGCCGCTTCTCGACCAAGCATCTGTCATGGTATGTCCTTCTCTCTTATGATATAGCTGCGTGGCTGTGAGGGTAATCTTGAGAAACATGCGCACATCCTCACGCCCCTCGAGGCGACCTCGCCGTTCCCTTGTTCTTCGTTGACGCGCGTGGGTGACCGCGCGCTTAGCGTGGGACGCGGGAGCAGGCGATGCCACCTCTGGTCGGGTCCCTCACCGCCGACGCCGTGAGAGAGGGTGAGTTCGCGGGCCCCACCGCCCCGTTTGTTCTGCGACTGCGTTGTTGTAACTCCTGGGTTTAAGCGCGTTTCGGGCCCCCCACCATATCCACCAAGCTTCCGCCGCATTCCGCCGAACAGGGGCCTTTCTTGTTATACTATGACGGCTGGCGCCGCACTCCGCCTTCGACGGACGCGCACTCAGAGATATAGAAGGATCCGTTTCGGGTCCAGTGAATTGTTGTGGCCACGACGTCCGCGCGCGAGGTTATGCAAATGGGGCGGCATAGATCCCCAGCAAGCTAGATGCCCATGTTCCCCCATGTGGGCTCGTTGTGCGCGTGCGCGCAAGGTTGCACCAATCGCTACACTACACCTGCACGCGTGTTGCACTGGCGTGCTTGGCAGGGCGTATACACATACGCTTGCACATATAATCATACGGAGCTGATCAGGAACCGCTGATCATGCGATGTGAAGTTTCCCAAGGGACTCCAGGGTTGACGTGAGAGTTCTCTGGCAGGTGGCGACCTGCCCCTGCAGTTGCCTCAAGGCCCCCTGGACTTACACCCTGCAAACATTCGGGGTGGCGGAGAGTGAGGCCTTACCACTCCAAGACGGCCGAAGAGGCTTCCAAGACGGCCACAAGACCGCCCAAGAGGCCCCCAAGAGGGCCCAAGACGGCCCAAGAGAGGCCCACAACGGCCCAAGAGGCGCCTCAGACGGCCCAAAGAGCCCCAAGACGGCCCCAAGAGAGGCCCAACAGAGGGACTACGAACCGAAAATTCCAGTTTTCCGCCCTGAGAGGCCCGGGCTCGGGGTGGCGAACAGAGAAGAAGGACGCGGCGGGCGATGGCGACGCAGAAGCGAAGCAGAAAACTAAGAAAGAGCAAGCCGCGCAGCGTATGTCACAGTGGAAGTGGCTGATAGTGGACGAGGTGAGCATGGCCAGCGCGAACTTCATTGCAGAGCTAGACTCGCACTTGCGGTCGTGCATGTCAGCTGCAAGCGACGCGAAGGCAGGTGAAGACAGCATAACCAGGCCCTTCGGGGGCGTGAATGTGCTGTTCTGCTGGGATTTCTATCAATTGGACCCGCCAGCAGGGACAGCCATTAATGCGCTTCCGACGTCGTGCTTGATCTCGCAAGGAAATACGCACCGGGTGCCGCGGAGGACCACGGACAGCATATCTTTTGGGGGCCGGGTGGCGACGGCGCAGTGCAGGGAATGACAGAGTTGACAGAGTGCAAACGCGTGGAGAATCAAGACGAGTGGTTTCTCGCTGTGCAGGACGAGTTCCGCCGAGGGGAGTTGTCGGAGCGCGCGCGCAATTTTTTGCATGGCAGACCGACGGATGTTCCGGGGTCGTTGGTGGGCGGTGCACCGTCGTGCGGGCGCACGCGTTGTCTCGAAAGCATAGAAGCAATCGCGAAAGAAAACGAGCTCGAATGTGACGCTTGCGAAGCTGAGCGGGAGAAGAGAAAACTCGTTGCGACGTCGCCAGAAGATGCGCGGTTTCGGGAGAAGAAATTCCTCGAAGCAGTCGCCATTTATGCGAATCAAGACATTCGTTGTCGCGTCGGGAAGCAGAGAGCTGTGCAATGGGCGAAGGAGCGCGGAGAACAGTTGCTGCGGGTCGCAGCCAGGGGCCGCCCTTGCCATGGGGGAGAACAGAGGCGGCCGTACACGATAGAGGACAATGTACGTTGGCTGGGGTACCATGAGAAGGAATGCGCAAGCTTGCCCGGGTGGCTGCCGTTGGCGAAGGGGATGCCCGTGGCTTTGGGAGATCACTTGGATCGGTCAAAGAAGCAGCTTCTGCGGGGGCGCACGGCGACGATCCATGGATGGGCGCTGCGCGAGGATGAGGTCGTTCGAGACGGCGACGAGGAAGTATTGATGCATCTGCCGAGAGTGATTGCGTTGGACTTCCATACGAAAGAGTGGCACCTGCCAGGGTGGGAGCCGGGGCTGTATCCGATCTTCCCATCGAAACGGCGGAAATGGTTCTTCAATGGATATCGGAAGCATCCAGTATTGAGTGTGGAGCGCACGCAGTTTATGATCACCCCGGCTTTGGCAGTGACGGCGCACTCTGCGCAGGGCCGGACCATGGCTGCAGTGATAGCAGACCTTGAAAGAGGGCGCGGCGTGAGTTGGATGGCAAGTTACGTTGCCATCGCACGCGTGCGGAGGCGGGAGGACTTGTTGATTTTCAGACCTTTCGATCGGAAGCCGTACAACGCGGGGGAGATGCCAGGCGCAAAGAAGTTGTTGCAGGTGCTTCGACGGGAGAGAGTGGCGCGGGCTGAGTGGGAAGAGGAACTAATGCCACGAGACCAGTGCGAGCGCTGCCGGCGGAGGTTGCTGGTAGAGGCGTTCACGAAGTACGAGTTCCAGAGAAAGGAATGGCCGGCGTTCTGCAAAGAGTGCACGGAGGAGATGAAAAGCGCGGGCGAGACATGGTGCAAGACGTGCAGAGGGTGGGCAACGAGAGGAGAGAGTGACGACGCGGCGCGCCATGGCAGCGGTCGGAACGCGGATGCGGCGGCCGACGACGGGGGAACGAAAAGGATTAGGACAATGTACTGCGCGAAGTGCAGCGGTATCAAAGCCAAGCAGAACTCGCGGAAAGACAGCGCGAAGTGGAATCAGAGTGTCGGAACAGTGCGATGTGCGAACGGTAAGTGCCTGTCGCTCTATGACGAAAAGGCGGATATGTCGGAAGGTCAGAAGAAACACAATGCTGCGGGGGAAAGGCTCCGTCGGAAATGCGCAAAAGAACGAGAGAAAGAGGTGCGACGGGGGAATGCGGAGGCAGCGAATCGCAAGCGGAAAGCCGAGGCGGACGCGAAGCCACTGACGTGTGCGGCGTGCGGAGAAGCGTTCTCGGACACGAAACATTTGAAGCATAAGCAAGTGGAAGATCATCGAGCGTCGAAAGGAGCGAAAGTGGTATGCGGAGGCTGCAAGAACCTCGGGTTCACAGCCCGCCGTTGCCGGGCGTATCAGTGCGGCGGCGCGTGCAAGAGAAGACTACCGAAGTCGGCGTTCACCGGGAACCCTGCCAACGTCGCGCGCGATGCAAAAAAAGGGCACCCTGATATGCAAGACCTGCAAATGATGCCCAATCGGGGGCGCGCGTGCGGGGGAGGACAGGGGGGAGGGGGAGAGAGGGGCATGGGGGTGAGGCGGAGGATGGGGGGAGAAGAATCGGGGAGGAAGAGGATGAGGCGGGGGAGGAGGAGGAGGAGTGGGCGAGGAGGAGGTGGAGGAGGGGGAGGAGGAGGAGAGGGGGAGGAGGACGGGGACTCAGAGACGAAATTTTGGGATATGTGCTATGGGTTAGAGGCTTTTTGTATGTGTATGGGGATCTCGCGGCACGCCTCTCGGGGACCTCTGGGAAGCAGTTTTGAACCCACCTGGCGGCCGAGGTGGAGGAAGAGGAGGAGGAGGAGGAGGAAAAGGAGGAAGGGGACACAGAAACAAGGCTCTGGGTTATGGGTTTTGGGTTAGAGGCGCCTTGCACCAGCTTGGGACCAATTTGGATACAGGTTTTGCCCTCGTGGGGTCGTCTTAGGCCGAATTGGGAAGCGTCCTGGGCCGTGTTGGGATTATCTGGGGCCGTCTTGAGGCCCTCTTGGGGCGCCGTGGGGCGATCTTGGAGGCTCTTTGGGCTACGTGAGCCGACGGAAGCCGGGAAAGGCAAGAATTGCAAACATGTTCAACAACGCAATGAAAATGTAATGAAATGCGTAATGTGCGCCTCTTTCAGATGTCCTGGGGGTCTTCTTGGAGACCTCGTGGGCGATAGTGAAAGCCTTTTAGGCCATCTTGAGGCCATCTTGGGCCGTCTTCGAACTGTCTTGGGCCGTCTTGGAACCATCTTGGGCCGTTTGGGAGCCATCCTGGGCCGTTTTGGAGCAATCTTGGCCTCGAGAGCGCGAATCCTTTTTTGTGCGCAAACGCAACCCCGCCACCGTGCCTGGGTTGTTGATATGAAACTTGTGCGGTGATCGTTGGGATCTCCTGGGGGGCTTTTCGCGGGACTCTTGGAGGCAGTTTCGAAGCCTCTTGGGGGCCGTTTTGAGGCCGTTTTGGAGCCTCTTGGGGGCCTCTTGGGGCCTCTTGTGGGCGTTTTGGGGGCCTCTTGGGGCCTTTTGGGGCCGTCTTGGGGCGGAAGGCTCGGATTGTCGGTTCGGGCTCCCCCTCTTGGGCACCTCTTGGGGCCGTCTTAGGGCCCTCTTGGGCTGTCTTGGGGGCCTCTTGGGCCGTCTTGGCGCCCTCTTGGGCCGACTTGGGCGCCTCTTGGGGGCCTCTCGGGGCGGTCTTGGGGTGCTCTGGGACTGTCTTCAACGCCGTGAAGGCCGAGAAGTAGTATATGATCAAAATGTACGTTTTCCCATTGGAATTTTACGATTTTCGGCGCTTCGGCCATTCTGAGGACTGCTCTTGGAGGCCTCTTGGGCCGTCTTGGAGGCCTCTAGGCTCGTCTTGGGGGCATCTTGGGCGTCTGGGAGCGCTCGTGCGTGTTAGAGACCCACAAGGGGTCGGCGGATAGTGCTTTCGCTTGTTCGGTCTCGAGAGCGCACAAGACGGCCAAAGAAAACCCCCAGATCACCTCAAGTCGGCCCAGGAGGCACCCACGAGGGTCCCAAGACGGCCCAAGAGGGCCCCAAGACGGCCCAAGAGAGCCCCCTGACGGCCCAGGACCGGCCTCGGAGGCGTCCCAAAGGTTCCCAGGAAAGCCCCGAGAGAGCCACAGGCGACCACCAAGAGGGCCCAAGAGGGCCCCGAGAGAGCCCCCAAAACGGCCCCCGGCCTCCCAAGACTGCCCCAGAGCGCACCAGGACGGCCCTCGAGGGTCCCAAACGAGCCCCAAAAGGCCCCGAGAGGGCCGCCAAAACGGCCCAATGATGCCACTTTGTGTGATTTTCTGTTGTTTCGGCGTTCTCGTCTCTCCAGTCTTTCAGCAGCTCGCGACGGCCTCAGGGGCATCCACCCGATCGCCCCAAGATCGCCCGAAGACGGCACACGACGCCCCAAGAAGGAGGGGGCCCCCCAGTTGGCAGAATCGATCGCCCAACAAGCCACAGAAATCTTCAAAATGTGTGACCTGGCGGACTCGAATCTGTTGCGGGACCGAATTGGTGGGTTCGTTGCGCTCTGGCATGCGTTCAGTGTTGCTAGCCCAGAGGAGCGAGGTGCCCCGAGGCGCTTCCCCCCGGCCGCGAGACGCGGTCAAGGGGGCGGGCCCAGTGGGCGCTCAATGTTGAATCTGTTGGTGTCCCGAGGCGGCCCCCCCCGGCCGCGAGACGCGGTCAAGGAGGGTGCAGGGGGCGCTCAAGGTGAAATCTGCGGTGTCCCGATGCGCCCCCCCAGCCGCGAGACGCGATCAAGGGGGGGCGCCGGAATGGCGCTCAAGGTTGACGCCGAGGCGTCCCGAGGCGGCCCCCCCAGCCGCGAAACGCGGCCAAGGGGGGGCGCCCAGGGGGCGCTCAAGGTTGAATCCGCGGTGTCCCCAAGGCGCCCCCAGGCCGCGGGACGCGGTCAAGGAGGTGTGCTTTGGGGTCGCTCATGGTTGAAGCCAACGCGTTACGGCCGGTGCCGCCGACCCTGAAGACAACGAAAATGAAAACGAGCGGGGGGGGTAGGACGCGGAGGAGGAGGAGAAGTGTGGGGGGAAGAGGAATGGTGGAGGAGGCGGATGAGGGAGGAGGGGGGGGAAGGATGAGGAGGAGAAGGAGGAGGAGGAGGAGGAGGAGGAGGCAGAGGAGGAGCAGGAGGAGGGGGGGCAGGGGAGGGGGGGAGCAGTAGGAGGAACAGGAGGAGGACGAGGAGGTCTTGTATCATTTTGGAGTCTTTTGGAGACAGCTTTTCATGGTTTCGGGGGCGCTGGAGGGGAATCGTATCTGGGCGGCGTCCTTTGGCCGTCTGGTGGGGCTTGGGCCGTCTTAGGGGCGCTCTTGTGGATCCGTCGTGGCCCCCCCCCTCCAGCGCATCTACAGAGGGCCCTTCTGTAAAAGCCGCAAACGGGGGATGCGAATTTGACCCCCCCATCCTGGGACCCCCCCCCACGCCGGGGAAGGGACAAAGGGAAGGGGCTTCCCTTTGACGTGACTACGACTTGGGTCGATTTCCCTCAATCCCCAGACTCCTCCCCCCGACGACGGGAGAGTGCTCTCTCACCCCCGACGGGGAAGGATAAACAGAAAAGGCGTCCCGTCGACGGGACCAGAAGGAAACCCCACACGCCGACAGGGTCGGCGGATTTCTCGCCATCGCTTGCGCCAGTGCATCCGAACGCCTGCGCATCATTGTACATGGAACTGTTACGCCTGGACCTGGGCCCGCTCACTCACACTGGTGCCATTTTGTCCACGGTCGCTGGAACCATCATCTCATCGTGCATGGGCAAGATCGTCTCGCCATCATCACAACCATCCCGCCTCCCTTCTGGATCACCCTCTCCCCTTGCACCGTCTGTTGATCATCATTATTCCCGCCCTCTTTTCAATCCGTTTCTTTCCCCCAGCGATCCTGTCCTTTGCCCTCTACCCTTCCTCGCCTTGAAACTAATGATGCGGAGAGCAGGGTCGAGAGTCCCAATATGTTGTAACGCTTCCCTGACCTGTGCTAGAACCTCAGCGGGCGCGAAGTCTGGGCGTGGTTCTGGTTTACATCTATAGAAGCAGGAGGAGGAGAACTTGAAGCCAGTAGTGGCGACGGAAGAGGTCGCATCTGCGGTCGTGGTTGTGCCAGCAAGCGTTGTGGCAACCGCAGTAGAATTGGTGGTGGTAGGGGCGATTGCCGTGTAATTGTTGATGTTAGAACTCTACATGCTTCGCGTAACCCCACCAGCCCATCCAGCAACGATGCCCAGTCGAGTTGCCTTGATGAGGAAATTGGGGGAGCATGCAGAGGAACAATGGAACGGGAAGACCGTCATACCTCAAGAGGAGGAGGTTGAAGGAGGAATCGGAGGAGGATGATGAGGAGGAGAGGGAGGAGGAGGAGGAGGAGGAGGAGGAGGAAGAGGATGTGGAGGAGGTGGACGACGAGGAGCACGACGAGGAGCACGACGAGGAGGAGGAGGAGGAGGAGGTGGAGGGGGTGGATGGAGGAGGAAGGATGAATAGGCGGAAGAGGAGAAGGAGGAGGAGGAGGAGGAGGAAGAGGAAAAGGGCTAGCAGAAGGGCCAGATGCCTCTTAGGTGCCGGATGTCTCTTGGGAGCTTCCTGAAGGCCTTTTGGGGCGTGTTGGGGGCCTTTTGGCGGTCCCGGGGGCCTCTTGGAGCGTCTTGGGTGCTTCGGAGAGCCACTTTGGATATCTTGGCTGCCTTTTTTGGGCCCCTCTGGGGGCCTCTCTTGGGGCCTCCGGGGCGCTTCTTAGGGCCCTCTTGTGGCTCTCTTGGGGATCTTTTGGGAGCCTTGGAGGGCCGCTTGGGGCTGTCTTGGAGGGAGGGTGTCGGTAAACAGAGGGGGGTTCCTACCGTTTAGTCCCCCCTCTCCCCCCTCTGGGTCCATCAAATATTTTCTTGGGACGCTCTTGGGCCTCTTTTGGGGCGATCTTGGGCGGTCTCTGGGACTCGGGGCCGTCTTGGGGGCATCTAAGCGGAAAGGGGAGAAGGCAATCATCATTGATGTTTCTCAGGTTTTTAAAAGGATATTGGCTTCCCCGGGAGGTCCTGAGGGGTGTCCAAAAGCACCTGGAACCGTCTTGTCGCCTTCTTGGGGCTTCTTGGAGGCATGTTGCTAGCTTTTGAGACATGTGGGGCTATCTTGAGCGATCCTGGAGGCCATTTTGGGCTCTCTGAGGCCCTCTTGGAGCCATCTCAGGCTATCCTGGACGCCCCGACACCTCGCGGACCCCCCCGTCCAGGTCCAGGGGAGGGGGTAGGGGAAGGGGTCAAGCTTCCCACCCGCCTGCAAGCCGTCTTGCTCACTCCCACCCGCCCTCCCAACACATACGTAACACCCAGGAGTCAGCATATCCCGTAAGAACGCCGCAGATGCCACGGGTTCCAGATGCACCAGACCCTGGGGGCCCAAGCGTGCCAGGCGCGCCAGGTGCTCCACGTGCTCCACGTGCGCCCAGTGTTCCACGTGCTCCAACCGTGCCAGGTGCGCCAGCCACTGGGAACCAATAGGGGCTCGTGGGCCCAGCTTTGAGCTGTCTTGGCCAACATTGGACCCATGTGGAGGTTTCGAAATTCCATCGGAAACGGTAAGGCGAAAAGGCAGCAGCCATTGATGTGTGAAGCCAGTCGGTCGACCACCTGCGCCCAGAAGGCAGGTGGAACTGCTGTCACCCCAGCCGTCACTGTGACATGTCAATACATGATGGTGGCGGGGCGGCCGCGCACGCTCCCAATGTGGAGGCAGAGTGCGTTTTTGTATGTTTTTGCGTTTTGCTTTTTTTTTGTGAAAGGAACGGGGGAGGGGTGGCCTCATGGGGATGGCATGGTCCGGGCTGGCCGCCGGCCGGGTGGGAGGGTTTATATTGATAGGGAGAGGGGAAGAAGGGGTGTTTGGAAGAGGAAAGACATCGTTAGACCACCTGCGCCCAGAGGGCTGGTGAGACTGCACCACGCGCGCATTGCGCGCGTGGGTCTAGGTATGTCAGTGTGTTCCCGCATATACATCGACATACACATGTCATTATTTTAGCTCGCAAACACATGGATACGGTGTATACCAGACATCCTAAGCAGACCAAAAAAGGGGTGGACGGGCGCGGGTTTTTTGGCAGTTGATTCCGTTCGGTTCTCTGCGCGCCTGCTCGGGAGGGGGAATGCCAGGCGTCTCGCTTGGGATGGGGAGGCGGGTGGGGGTGCTGGGGGCACGGGGGGGGGCGAATGAGGGATAGAGGGGCAGCGGGGGCGAGGGCGATGAGAGGAGATGGATGGAGGAGGCGAGAGGGGGGGGAACGGGAGGAGAGGGAAAGAGGGGGAGAGGGAAGGGGGGGCGGGAGTGGACTGGGGAAGGGAGGGGCCGAGGGGGGGATGGGACCCGAAAGCAGGGTGACGGGGGAGGGGGAGGGGGGGGGAGGGGAGACGGGAGGCGGAGGGAAGCCAGAGCGGATGTGAGAGCCGGGATGGGGAGGGCCAGGGCTCCATGGCGCGCGCTCCCGCGCGGATGGCGCGCCCGCGCCTCCCTCCGCGCCGCAGCTGGCGGAGAAGGAGCTGCAGGTGGGCAGCCTGACGCAGAGGGCCGCGGTGCTGGAGGCCAGGCTGCAGTCGCAGGACGAGGACTACAAGGATTCGTGGTCGTCCTGCCTTGGCCTCGTAGGCATCGTCGTCGTCGTCGTTTTCGGCGTCCTCCTCCTCCTCCCTCATCCCTCGTCCGCTGGACCCTCCCATCCTGCTTGTGCTGTATCCGGCCTTCTGCCCCCCGTTCTCCACGTCCTCGGCCTCGCCCTCCCTGGCGCCCATCTCCCCGGCTCCTTTTGGCTGAGCGTGGCGCGCTGGTGACAGGGAAGGTTTAGGCTTGCAGCTGGTGCGGTTCTCAGGGATCATGTCACGCAGCCTTCGCTGATCCGTCCTCCTTATCATCCTCCTCCTCGGAACTCCGCGCTGTCGTGGTCGTCATTGCCATTTCTCTCTACTTGTTCGTTTCAGGCTGAACTGGGAGGGGTCTGAGTTCCTAGGGCCAGCATACCACCCCCCAAGACCGCCGGTCCCGCCTATAGTTTCTCTCCCTTGTCGTTGTCGTCCCTCTCCCCCGCGGTGTTGTGACGACGGTATCCTTCCCATGTCTGACTTTCCTCTCCTTGGGCAGTTCCTCAAATTCTTGACTTTCTGTGTTTCGTCTTCGGGTCCATCGTCTCCGCGGGTAAGGTTGTGTGCTTCATTGGCATCGTAATCTCGCTATCCCAGCCTATCCTGTCCTCCCTCCTCCCCTCTTCCCCTCCTCCCTCCATTTTCCCCTCCTCCCTCCTCCCCTCCTCCCTCCCTCCTCCACTTCTACCTACCCCCTCCCTATCCTATCCTATCCTTCCGCCTCCCCTCCCCGTCCGCCGCTCCCTCTCCGCAGCATTCCCATCCGTTTCCAGTGACTCCGCTTTCTCCAGGCACATCTGGGCCTCCGCCCCACCCAGGCAGTTCTGGACGGCGCCCGACGCCGAAAACAAGAGGAGGAGGAGGAGGAGGAGGAGGAGGAGGAGGATGAGGAGGATCACCGGCACGTTGAGCGGATGAAGCGTCAGGCATTACCATCTGCAGTCACAAGCCGATGAACCGAGATGTCCAGCCTGAAACCGGCAAGTCAAACTCAGACGTAGTTTCGGAACAGTCACACCTAAGACTGACAGCGCATGCAAATCGAAGGGTGAACATCCAGCCCAATCACCTTTTGACCATCCGAACAGATCCCACGCCTACCAGAGTAATCCCAAGCTTTCGTTCGCGCCGAGGCCTGCTCAAGAGCTTCTTCATGTCGTGGGCCCCGCAGACCCTCCCGAGTCTTCCCCTCCTTGGTGATTCCACCTTCCCGCCGCTCTCTCTCTCGCCGCAGCAGTTTCTGTGTCGACATCCGCGTTCGTTTGACCCCCCCCGTCCACGTCCTAGTCCGTCCTTACACCTGCCTCTCATCCCTTCTGTTCCTTCGCCGTCCTCCTTCTCGCTGTCGAGGTGTTCTCTCCCTCGCCCCCCATCCCTTGCGAGATCTATCCCCTCGTCCATGATCCTGGCTTCCCCACTGATCTCTCAATATTGGAAGGCCTTGGGGCTGGTGCCGTCGATCCTGCTCGCTAGCAGGACGATCATGAGGAGGAGGAGGAGGAGGAGGATGGGAGGGGGGAGGGGGGGGGAAGTGGGGAGTTGCTCCCTCAACGTTCTTCCTCCCGCATCCATCAGTCAATATTCCTCATCTTCATATTCTCCGCCCTCCTCCTCCTCCACCTCCTCCTCCTCCTATTTGCGGGGCCAGGTAACACAGCAGCAGCACACCTGCCGTTAGGGTGCCTAGCACCTCAACCTCTTGGCATGAAGCTCAGACGCACAGGTGCTGTAGATCGTACTGATGCTCCTTCTCGCGTCTGAGTCCGAAGAAAAGGTGTTTTTTTCGAATTTGCTTTCACGGACCCCATCCGCATCGTCCGTCATCCCTTCTTTCCACTGCAGCTAGGCGAGTCTGAGCAGGTACTCAAGGAGCCCATCAGAGGAAAATCTGAAAGGACTGCTCCTCCTCATGCTGCTCCCGATCTCTCTCCTCCTCCTCCTCCTCCTTCTCCTCCTCCTCCTCCTCCTCCTCCTCCTCCTCTTCCTGCTCCTTCTCCTCCTCTTCCTCCTCCTCACGCTCCTCGTCCCTCCCTCCTCCATCCTCCTGTCCCTCTCTCTCATCCCCGCCTCCTCCCTACTTCTGCCCCTCGTCCTGCATCCTCCTCCCTCCCGCTCCTGCTCCTCCTGACTGCGCCTCCTCCTCCTCCTCCTCGATGCCCCCTCCTGCCCTCTCCCCCCGCCCTCTTCCTCTTCCTCGCCCCTCCTGACCCCTCCTCCCGCCTCCTCCTCCTCCTCCTCCTCCTCCTCCTCCTCCTCCTCCTCTCCTCCTCATCCTCCTCCTGTCCTCCTTCTCCCCCCTCCCCCCTCCTGCTGCTCCTCCCTGCTCCCTGTCCCCACCCCCCGTCCCTCCTCCAGCCCCCGCCCCTCGCCCCCGGGGCCCCAGCTGCTGGAGACCCTCCAGCGCACCAGCGGCGCGGAGGAAGCCGCCGCGCCTCCCTCCTCGCACGTGTGGCGTGCGCCCAGCAGCGCGGACGACCACGGCGCGGGCGGCGACGTCGACGACAACAGCGGCGACGCCATCGGCGACGGCGTCGTCGACGGCGAGGGCTGCGGCGGCGGCGAGATCGAGGGCGGGGGCGACGACGAGGGCGGCGACGAGGGCAGCGACGACGCCGGCAGAGATGTGGCGGTGCCAGCGTGAAGTCGGGCACGTCCCTCTGCAAGAGGAGTACCCAATGCAAGTAAGACAATACACGTTTTTTAACAATTAGTTTTGCACATTTGGGAATATTTGTTGGATCATGCTGTATTGTTCGTCCAAAATCCACATGGAGGGAGACATGCCCGACTTAAGGCCAGCGTCGAGGTGGATTTGCTCAGCAGCGTCGAGGGGGTGTGAATCACTAGGCGCGTTCCACTACTCGCAAGGTACCCACTCGGAAACGTCCGAAAAAAATGTTTCCCTCCTCATGCAGTGTATCGTACCCCCCCCCCGCGGCGGATCCAGGCAATTTGCGAGCAGCTGCTTTTGCGAGTAGTGGAACGCGCTCGTCCAGTGAATGCAGCGTGCCAAGCGCATGCCAGGTGCCACCGCGCTGGCTGCACCAGTTCGAGCCGACCATCAACTAGAGCAGTGAAATGTTTGAACCCTTCACTCCGGATGCGAAGGTAGGCCGCATGTTTTCGTGCCCCAGAAGAACATCAGGCTTGGACGCCGCTGACACAGTGCAGATCGCGAGACGAAGTTGTCACAGAGTGCAACGACATCGGCAAACTGGGCAGGCTCACTGAACACACTGAGTGTAAGCTGATCCACTTCAGCGTGGGATTAGGGGAACGAGTAATAATATAAACATAAAAACTCGCAGGTCCGCGCGGATTTCTCGGACCCGCGCTGGACCCCCCTCCCTGGCGTGCTCCGCGCGCCAGGGTCGGCGCCGTAGGCGCCGCCAGGGGGGTCCAGCGCGGATCCCAGAAATCGGTGCGGACCTCCGAGTTTTTCTGTGTATGTCAGTGTTCGTTCCCCTAGCGTGGGATCGATCACCCAGAGTGTCCCCTGGTCCGCCATAGATGCCATAGATTTCAGGTGCCGCCACGGCTTCGCTGCACACAGTTGACGACCAGATGCGTTCTTCCTGCGGCTGCCCTCCCGCAGCCCTCTCTCCCCGGCTGTCCTCGCCTCTCTCGCCTCCGTGGTGTTGCGTCTTGTTGCTTCGCGCACGGCAGGTGCGCGTCGTGTGGACTCCGCCCCCGTGTTCAACGTTGAACGCCGCCGGCGTTCCAGAATCGGTCGATGTTGAGCGATGTGACGTGTCGGAAACAGCCGATCGTTCAAAGTTGAGCGATCCACGCGGTGTCGGAGACCAACGCCGAAGTCGGCACGACAAGATCCCATCGCATGCGGTCACCAGCTCATCCGAAAACAGTCACCAGGCGAGTTGACCGAATCAGGAATGTGAGATGTCTGGCTGCATGCAGTCACGCTCTGGGAGCCTCCTGATGGCATGTTGTGCCCATCATGGGCCTCAGGGCCAGTCTGGAGTCCTTTGAGGTTCTCTTGGGGCCTTCTAATTAGTGGCCCTTTTGGCGCCATCTTGGATGCCATGTTGGTGGCCTAGGAGGCCCTCTTGGCGCCAGTTTGAAGGCCATCGATCAAAACAAGGGGCGGCGCTTATTGACGTCCACCCGTCGGGGCCCTCAAAAGAAACCGCTTTTGCTGGCCATCTTGGGGCGCTATTGGGGTGCTTTGGGGCGCGCTTGGGGCCGTTTTGGGCCCCTCTTGGGGCTCTCTTGGGCCATTTTTGAACCATCTCGAGGCCCACCAGGCCGATCGGATGAGAAAAGGCAAAGGGTGTTGGTATCTCGGAGAACTAATTTGGAAGCTCAGTGGCCACTTTGAGCCATCCTGGAACGATCTGAGGGGCTCTTGTAGGTATGTTGGAGGCTATCTTGGTCCATCTTGGAATAACGCCAGCAATATTGTAGGCCATCTTGGGCTGTCTGGGACCCTCTGGGCGCCGTCTTGAGCCATCTTGACGCTCCGACCCCTCGCAGACCCCCGCTGGGACCAAGTTCGAAGGGCAAGGGGGTTTGGGAATCTCCTCCCCGAAGGGGAAGAACGAGGAGGAGTAGGAGGAGAAGGAGGAGGAGGAGAAGGAGGAGGTGGAGGAGGAGGAGGAGGAGGGGGGGTTAGCATCACGAGCTCTCTGGACCACTCACGCCCAGAGGGCTGGTGGGATTTCTCGTTTCGTAATCCGGCCTGGGCCCTCCCGCGCCGATCGATCGCCGGCGCCGCGGCCCAGAGGAAGTGTGCATAGCTACCTAACCATGGCTGCGTCTCGAGAGGACGCCGATACCCGCCACATTGGAGGCCTCGAGACGGATGGATCGCAGGCCAAGAGGTTGACACCAGCACCAATATCGGCGGTGTGCCTCCACCGAGTTCAGAGGATCCCGATCTCGGTGATGGTGGTCATATTCTGGCTTCCAGGGTGACCGAAATGTGAGCACCAGCACCGGAATCCAGGTTCATCTCCTCCTCCTCCTCCTCCTCCTCCTCCTCCTCCTCCCCCTCCTCCTCCTCCTCCTCCTCCTCGTCCTCCTCGTCCTCCTCCTCCTCCTCATCCTCATCCTGTGGAGGCAACCCCTTTGTGTTGTTGTTGGTGCCCCTTTCCAGGCCTCCAGGAGGGGGCTCTCGGGTCTTGCAGTCGGAGCGCTGGAGAGGGAGCCCTTCGCGTGTGGGACGGGCTCCATGTTCCGCAGTCGTCCTGCAGTTTGCCTCGGGTTTTCCATTTTGGTTTTTGATTGGAGGTCGAAGTTCAACAAAGGGGAAATTGGGGCCTGGCTCCTTATCCATCGTTCCTTGGGTCAGCGCCCCAACTAGGCCCCCGGCGGCCGTTCGGGACGACGCCAGGCACCCCGAGGGCGCTCTCGTCGAGGCGCAGCTGCCAGAGCGCCTCCCGAGGCAGGAGCACCCCTTCAAGGCCTGACGAACACGTTCTCCCTCTCCTCCTCCCTCTCCTCCTCCCTCTCCTCCTCCCTCTCCTCCTCCCTCTCCTCCTCCCTCTCCTCCTCCCCCCCCCTTCCTCCTCCTCCTCCTCCTTCTCCTCCTTCTCCTCCTCCACCTCCTCCTCCCTCCTACGAGCGGTGAATAGGCGTCCCTGGACCCTGCCGCGTACGCCCTGGCCTGTGGCTGGCTCGCGCGCGCTCTCTCGGCGTGCTCGAGAGGCCGCCGTGTCCGCGCTTCGCTACCGCCCAGCGCCATGCCCGAGCCTCAGTCCCGGGGCCCCCTCCCTGCCCCCGGGAGCCAGCTCGCAGGAAGGAGCGCGGTGAGTACCTGAGGCTGATGGGAAAAAGGAAGGAGAAAAGGAGAGGACCATGAAGCGAGCTCAAGTACAACTAGGTGGCACGGTACTACCGTGGGGCACTCGCTTCGCTCCTCCTTGCACTTCGTCACGTAAGGATTATTATTGCAAGTCGTCCACGAGAGGGATCTGATTGAACAGCCGATCACAATGTCGACACAATAGAGATCGGTATGTAAATCGGCCACACAACTTGTTCCTTTGCAATGGAGCTAGGACAAATTCTGGATCTGACGGAAGAATCAAAATAAACAAAACAATTGACATCCGTCGCCGTTCCCGTTTTTTCCAACCATCTTGTGATGTTGGGTTCTCGTTTTGAAGAGACAGCGCCTCGCGTGCCCTCCTTCCCGCTGCCTCTGCCTTTCGCATGCTTGTGTTTCGGCGTGCCCAGTGCAACGCTTCGTGGCCCCGTACTTAGGGAGCTCCACCGAAGGTCCCAGCGGCAGGGTCCACATGGCGGCGCCGCCCCATCTTGGCACACCTCTCATACAGGTAGTGGCCCCACAGGGAGTTCCACCGAAGGCCTCAGTTGGAAGGTCCACCTGGCGGCGCCGACCCCTTTTGGCGCAGCCTTCACACGGTTCGCTGCCCCACAGGAGCTCCACCGAAGGCTCCAGTTGCAGGGTCCACATGGCGGCGCCGCCCCATTTTGGCGCACCTCTCACACAGTCTGTGGCCCCATCGGGAGGTCCACCGAAGGCCCAAGTGGCAGGGTCCTCATGGCGTCGCCGCCCCAATTTGGCGCACCTTTCACACTGCTCGCGACCGAAAGGGAGCTCCACCGGAGGCCCCAGTGGCAGGGTCCATATGGCAGCACCGCCCCATCTTGGCGCACAGAGGAGCTCCACCGAAGCCCCCAGTGGCAGGGCCCACATGGCGGTGCCGCTCCATTTTGGCTCACCCTTCACACGGTTCGTGGCCCCATAAGGAGCTCCACCGAAGGCCCCAGCGGCAGGGTCCACATGGCGGCGCCGCCCCATCTTGGTGCGCAGCCCGCACACAGTTCGAGGGCCCATAGGGAGGGCCACCGAAGGCCCACGTGGCAGGGTCCTTTTGGCGGCGCCGCCCCCTTTTGGCGCGCCCTTCTCAGGGTTCGTGGCCCCAGAGGAAGTTCCACCGAAGGCCCCAGCGGCAGGGTCCACATGGCGGCGCCGCCCCATCTTGGTGCGCAGCCCGCACACAGTTCGTGGCCCCATAGGGAGGGCCACCGAAGGCCCACGTGGCAGGGTCCTTTTGGCGGCGCCGCCCCCTTTTGGAGCGCCCTTCTCAGGGTTCGTGGCCCCAGAGGAAGTTCCACTGAGGGCCCCAGCGGCAGGGTCCACATGACGGCGCCGCCCCATCTTGGTGCGCAGCCCGCACACAGTTCGTGGCCCCATAAGGAGCTCCACCGAAGGCCCCAGCGGCAGGGTCCACATGGCGGCGCCGCCCCATCTTGGTGCGCAGCCCGCACACAGTTCGAGGGCCCATAGGGAGGGCCACCGAAGGCCCCAGTGACAGGGTCCACATGGCGGCGCAGCATTATTTTGGCGCACCTCTCACACGGGCCGTGGCAGCATAGGGAGGTCAACCGAAAGCGGCGCCACAACAGGGTATTCACAATTCTAGACGCTTCGCGTATCCCCACCAGCCCGTCCAGAAACGACGCCCAGGCGAGTAGAGGGTCGTGCTGAGGGGCTTTTCGGGCGTCTTGGGTGCCTCGGGGGGGCCTCTGTGGGCCGTTCGGGATCCTCTTTGGGGCCTCCTGGGGGCCTCTTGGGGCCTTTTGGGGCCATCTTGGGGCCTCTGGGAGCACCTTGGGTGCCTCTGGGGGGTCTCTTGGGGCCTCTTGGTGGTTTCCTGGGGGCCTCTTGGGGGGCCTCTTGGGGTCATCTTGGGGCCATCATGCGGCCTCTTTGGGTATCCTGGGGGCCTCTTGCGGCCATCGTGGAGGAAATCGATCAAAGAAGAGGGGTTCCTTAATTAGAGTCCCCCCCCCAGGAGCCACGATCCTCATGAGGGGTGTCGAATTTTAGCCTTCCCAGGGGTCGATCTTGGGTGCTCCAGCGCGCCGCGGAACCCCCTGTCCAGGTCAGTGGGGAGGGGGTAGGGGGAGGGGTAAACCCCTCCCCGAAGGGGAAGAAGGAGGGGTGGAAGAGGAAAAGCTCTAAACCACCGACGCCCAGAGGGCTGGTGCGATTGCACATGGTTGGGTCTTCTCCGCCCCGCCCACAGCCCCCCCAACAAAACAATAATAACGGCGACGGACGTGTTTTCTGTTGTGTTTTCCCTAGCCATCCTGCGGTGTTGGGTCTTCGTTTTGGGTCCCACCTTCCCGCTGCCCCTTCCTTCTCTTCGCATGTCAATGTTCCGGCGCACCCAGTGCAACGCTTCGCGGACCCGTAGAGAGCTCCATCGAAGGCCCCAGCGGCAGGGACCACACGAAGGCGCCGCCCCATTCGGCGCATCTTTCACACGGTTCGTGGCCCCATAGGGAGGTCCACCGAAGGCCCACGTGGCAGGGTCCACATGGCGGCGCCGCCCCCTTTTGGCGCACTCCTCAAATGGGTCGTGATGCAAAAGGAGGGAAGGAAGTTCCACCGGAGACCCCAGTGGTAGGGTCCACATGGCGGCGCCGCCCCATTTCGGCGCACCCCTCGGTTCGTGGCCCCATAGGGAGCCCCACCGAAGGCCACAGGGGCACGGTCCACATGGCAGTGCCGCCCCATTTTGGCGCACCTTTCACACGGTTCGTGGCCCCATAAGGAGCTCAACCGAAGGCCAAAGTAGCAGGGTCCACATGGCGGCGCCGCCCAATTATGGCGCTCTCCTTACACGTTCGTGGCCCCAGAGGAAGATCCACCGAAGGCCCACGTGGCAGGGTCCACATGGCGGTGCCGCCCCACCTTGGCGCACCTCTCATACGGTTCGCGGCCCGCAAGGGAGCTCCACCGAAGGCCCCAGTGGCAGGGTCCACATGGCGGTGCCGCCCCATTTTGGTGCACCCCTCTCACAGTCTGTGGCCGCATAGGGAGGTCCACCGAAGGCCCAAGTGGCTGGGTCCTCATGGCGGCGCCGCCCCAATTTGGCGCACCTCTCACACGGTTCGCGACCGAAAGGGAGCTCCACCGCATGCCCCAGTGGCAGTGTCTATTTACATGGCGGCGCCGCCCCATTTCGGCGCACCCCTCACACAGTCTGTGGCCCCATAGGGAGCTCCACCGGAGGCCCCAGTGGGAGGGTCCACATGGCGGTGCCGCCCCATTCTCTCGCACCCATCACACGGTTCGTGGCGCCATAGGGAGTTCCACCGAAGGCCCACGGCAGGCACAAATGCACATGGTGGGTCTTTCGCCATGATAATTTGTTTGGGGAGTGCCACCATTTTCTCTATCTCCATTTCAGTACCAATCAAAGTGCAGGCGAACTACATGTTGTTGTTTGTTCTTTTGGGTGTGGGTTACACATCGATTATTGTCGTGCTCCTTCGTAGTAGGAATATTACTGAGGCCAACTTGCCTATCGACTTCTACTGAATGGACTACACAGAGTACTTAGTGGGCCATTCACAACTTGATTTTATCGTGTGGGTTCCACATCGAATCCTTTTGTGCGACTTTGCAATCGGGTTCATTATGTGGGGTCCCGGTGGACCCACCTTCACCACAATCGCATTGGGGGTGACTCCGCTTCCGATGGCACCCTACGAAGGATGGAAGCACTCGGAAAATGATTCCAGTCCATAAGATATGGATCCACCTCTATTTGAATCCAAATGGGAACTGAACCATCCCTAATACAATTAGCCTCCCCTGATAGACGTCTATTAGTGGTGTATCCACCTCACATGACATTCGACTGGGGGTGGATGCGATCCACCTTACACAGAAATTGATTAATGGCGGGGCCGTCTACAATATGATCCCTTTAGGGGTGGAGGCATTTACGCACACTAGAATTCATTATGTAAATCGCAAAAGGTACGCGTGGTCAAAGCCGCACAGAGGGATTCGATCTGTTATCTGCATAAGGAATCACTGCGTAAGTCACCCACAGAAGGAATCCGAGTAGCCGTACGCAAGGATTCTATGTGCAGGTTATATATACAATCCACACAATAGATATCAATGTGCACACCGGGCCACATCATATCACATTCGATCAGGGCAGGAGCCAGTTGTCAGATTCTCTCCAACAGGATCTCATCAGGTTGGGGCCATTTGTAATACAATCTTTTGGGGAATGGACCCGTCTCCAAAAAAGTCCCACCGGGGATGGACTCTTCTTTTGTGGAATCTCATCACATGTGGAATTGTCGCATCCTAAATCTCACTTTGGATGGATCGATCCGTCAGAACACCGTTTTGAGAGAGGACCCGCCGCCTAAGATAATGATAGTGGGCCCACCTCGATTAGAATCCTGTCAAGGAAGGAACCACGTGTTACAGCATTCCGTTTAGGGTGGATCCTCCTCTAGTAGATATACATTCGACGCGGATCCCTCTCCAGTGGGAGCCCAGTATGGACGGAACCACATGAATGGGTAATGGAGCCACCTCTAGTTAGACGTTTATTTGGGATGCATTCACTTGTCATGATATCCGATTTAAGGTGGCGCCGTTTGCAAAGTTATCGTTTGAGGGGTAGAGGCGCCTACAAACAATAGACGAACATATTCATGCTGTAAAGTTGCACATGAGTATTACATGTGTAACCACACAGCAGGAGTTAATTTGCCAATCGCCCCCTCAGACAATGATTGACTTGACAAGCCGCAAATAAGGATGTTTTGTGCAATCCGCACAAAAGAGATTAATACGTGCATCGCGCAATTTCGAATAACATCCGATCAGGGGAGGGCACGCTTGCAATCAAATCTTGGGCAGCATCCTAACAGGCTTGGAGCCACCTACAATGCAATCATGCGATGGATGGAGCCACACCTTATAGAGTTTCCACTAGGGGTGGGCGCATCGCCCAAGGAGCTCTTTTTAACACAATCCTGCTAGTGGCGAGACAATCAGCAATACCGTCTCATTGAGAAAAGAACTCAAGTATGATTCAATCCCATGGGAGGTGGATCCACACCTACTGGAATTATGTCAGTGCCCCTTGCGTCCGATGACAAAACGCAAGTACTACACTTCCACCTCGTCCATCTTCGATCACTGCAGTTTCTTCTCTCCTTTGTCTTCCCTCGTCAGCGAGGCTCATGCACTCACAGCGTTCCCGATTCGATTCTGCTGGTTCGAATCCGCTGGGCCTCCGCCGCCGCTGCCGAGCGGCAGCGGCGGACGGAGGGAGGGAGGGAAAAGGTGGTGGCAGGAAACAGGAGGCGGACGGCAACGACGACGACGATGACAAGAACGACGACGACAACGACGACGACGGCGACGGCGACGATGGCGACGGCAACGACGACGACCGCTCCGGTGTCGTCGAGGAGGCGCCGCCGCCGCTGCTACCGAGCGGCGGCGGCGGCGAGCGGCGGCGGCGGCGAACGGCGGCGGCGGGAGGCTCTGGCCAGCCTGCCGGCGCAGGAGCACGCGGCCGCGCTCTGCGCGCTGCGGGTGCGGCTGGGCACCTTGCACGGGCAGCTGCAGGAGGCGGGCGGTGTTGCGCCTCCAGAGGGGGGGGTGGGGAGGGGAGCCCGGACATTTCCCGCGGCGCAGCAGAAGTCCGGGGCGGCAGGATTGTCGGTGGTTTCGGCATCCGGGGGGCCCTCTCGCTGGGCCCCAGGGCCGTCCGAAAGCGACGCAGGAGGAGCAACCGGCCCTGGGGATGGGGTTGGGACTCTCAGGGGTCGTGCATTGAAAAGTCAGGACGTCGCATGTCTGGGAAAGTCAGAAGGTAAACGGTGCCAATACCGCTACCCCCCTTTTCGCTCTGGCTTGTTTGGCCTCCTGGGAGGCCCTCGTCGCCACCGCTGGATTCGCGCCCTCGGAGAGTTCTCGGGAGTAGAGGTATCTGTTCCGACCTCTTCTACGTAGGAGGCCTCCAGAGTTGCTGAATCAATTGGCACATCTATATTTTTATTGATGTACACACACTGTACATATATATATATATATATATATATTACATCTATATGTATAAATGAGATGTGTGTACCGCGTGGGCGGTGCACTAGTGGGCTCTTCTTCGCGGTGCGAGAGGGGGTGTTGGGTCGCTTGGAAGGGGATCGGTTCTGTGGGCGTGGAGGGGGCATGGATCGCGTGTGGGGTGCAGGTCTGGGCTGTCCTGCGCGGTGAGTGGGGGGGGAGAGGAGGAGGTAGGGTCGCTTGAGGGGATGCAGGCGTATCAGGCGATCGCAAACATGGATCAAGGGGGCGTGGATTAGCGACTGGTCCCGCTTCCATGGGAAACCGCAGATGCTCGCCGCGGAGCGAGGCGGCACCGGCCGCCTTTGTGGAGGGCACCTCCCCCGATCCACGGATTTGGCGACCTGCATCTTATGATTTTCATATTCCAATCTACTTTAAGCGCCTTCCTGCTTCAATGATCGAGTGGCCTCACCTTTTCCGTCCTCCCAAGAGGGCGGACGGAGCCCAATCTACTGTCAACGCCTGCCTACGTCATGTTTACACCTACTTCGTTCAACAGATGGTTACCCATACTGCTAACCCTCGTCGGTGTTCTCCTTTTTGGGGGGCCTCCTGGGAGGCCCTCGCCGCCACCGCTCGATCCGCCCCGAAATCCTGGCCAGAGCGCATCCCGGAAGAGATCCAGGGAGTAACGGTATGGGTACCTTTCGGTTTCCCCAGGGTGGGTTATGTGGAGTTGATGGTTGTGAATATCGGCGGCGCGCTTGGGGGCCTCCTGGGAGCTTTCCGGCGGGTCCTTCCGGGGGTCGCCCGGGGCTTGTGGGGGGACGTTTTAGGGAGGCGATCGGCCCGTCCAGCGCCTTCGGAGGCCATCCTGGGGGCTTCTCTGGACCGTCTTGCTCCCCTCTTGGAGCACTTTCGAACCGTTTTTGGGCCCTCCGCGGAGCTTTTTGGGGCGAGCTCGGGGTATTTGGGCAGACTCGGGGCCTTCTTCGGTGGCCTCCTAAGATGTCTGGGAGCTGGATTGGAGGCCCCTTGGCCGCCTTGAGCGGTCGGAAACCCAACAAGGCGAGAGGTTAAACATCATTCACAAACCTTACAGTCAACCATGATAGTAAGGAGTGGGCAGCTGTCCAGGGCCACCCTTGCATCCTTGCCCCTTCGGCGTTCGGCATCCTTCGGCATTCTGCTGCCCTCCGCACGGAAAACGTCAACATGGCGTTCCAGGGCCCTTGCATCCTTACCGCGCATCCTTACTGTCCTGGTCGAGTGTAAGACAATTAGTGGTTGGGGCCTCTTCGGGCTGTTCTGTAATGGTTTTTTGGAACCCCCCTCGGCCGTCGTGGGGGACCCTCCTGAGGCTGTTCCGGGAGACTCTTGAGCCGTATCGTGACATTTGGAGCCGTCTCGGTGTCGTGCTGGTGGTTTGGAGGTCGTCTTGGCTGCCATTCTGGCCCAGGGAACAATTTCAGGGAGGCGGGTGTTTAACAGCGGGTGCGGCGCGGGGGGGCGTCGGGCAACCATTCTAACACGCCCACTGGGCACAAGGACCGCTGGCGGATGGGCAGAGGGAGAGGCCGTTTGCGCCTTCCCCCTTCGTCGAAAGTAGCGTTTGCCCAAGGCTGCCATCACCCCCTCCTCCCCGTCCTTAGTCATGCTTGCCTCTTCCCCCTTCTCCTGCCACGTCGCCGTGCCGCACGCGCAGGGATCGACCTACACGGTGTTCTGGCGATTGCGTGGGCCGCTGTCGTCTCGATCTCGTTTTATGCAGCAACGGCGGGCTGAAGCCAACACGAGGGAACGCGCAAGCAGAACGAAAACGAGCAGCATTGTGGAGATCGATCCCTGCCGCGGCGACAACCGCTGCACCGCTCCACCTGGCACCCCCTGTGAGGTCAGCCCTCCCCCAGGGGCACAGGCCCCTGTGGGGTTAGATCGGGCATGTCCTCCTGGAGCCGGAATGTTGGAGGTACAGTGAGAAATAATCAAACCAGACTCCCAAATAGTCAGAACATACTAGAGACATCTTCCTCCTTCTATGTTTTGATTTTTGTTGTTTGGGATATTGTTGCTGTGTGGAGGGACATGCCCGACTAACCTTGGGGGGGGGATGGCAGCTCCAGGGTGGAGCAGCGGCCAACGGCTCGAAGCTCGAAGAGGGAGGCGTGGCTGTCATGGGGCCACCGGGCTCCGAGGGCACCGAGGATCACCCCGCCACGCCCGCATCCTCAAATCCTGGACCCGTCAATGAGGAAGGAGAGATGAGAGGGCGTGCGGCGAGAGAAGGGGGAGAGGATGGAGGAGGGAGGGGGGAGGAGGATCGAGCTGGAAGGGGGGAGGCGGGCGGATGGGGTACGAGGTGGAGGAGGAAGAGGCAGAGGAGGAGGAGGGGCAGGCGTGGCATGAGGAGGAGGAGGCGGAGGATGAGGGCGGGCTCGGGAACCACGTCAAAAAGCAGGAGAAGGAGGAGAGGGAGCAAGAGGAAGAGGAGGAGGTGGAGGAGGAGCAGGAGAAGGAGGATGGTAATGGGCGCTAGGCAGGGCCACCCCCCCGGTGCGCGTGCCCACCCGTCCTCGTTCATTCACTCGACTTCGTCGTCGTCGTCGTCGTCGTCGTCGTCGTCGTCGTCGTCGTCGTCGTCATCGGACGGTTTTGTCGTCGGCGTCGTCCGCGGCGTCGGCGCTGGTCAGTCGGCCCCGCAGGAGCGGCTCAGCGCCTCGGCGCTGCGGGCCGCGCTGCACAGCAGCGAGCGGGCGCTGCAGGAGCGGCCGAGGCCGGGCGGTGCCGCCGTGACGACGGCGACGACGGCGCCGCCGCCGACGCCGACGCCGACGCCGACGACGACGACGACGACGCCGACGACGACGACGACGACGACGACGTTGAGCCTGGCGCCAGCCGCACTGGCGAGCTCGTACTGGAATCGGTTCGGAATTGGCGTCGGCCCCCGTCCCTGGCTGGAACGGGCTTTCCATCCTGAGTCGTTTTGTGTTGGTCCTGGGGCCGGCTGAGGGGCCCCTGGAGGCTCGTCGTCATCGGACTGTGCATCCTGCGGAGGGTATCCTCGGATGTTCTGTGTGTTTTGGCCTGCGGAGGATCTCGTTTTCTTGGAGCATGGTCTTCTGGCCTAGGTCCTGCTGCACTCTTGGAGCGGGCTGTGGGTCGGAGGTGGCGCAGTGTTGGTTCCAGCGAGCAGGAATGGGGGGGTTGTGCGTCCGAGAAGATTTTGGCTCGATCGGCCTCTTGGGGTCCGTTTTCGAGCCGCAGGACCGTAAACAAAAACGCATCCGGGGTAAAAACCGCACCAGATAGACCCCAGAAAGGGTCTGGGGACCGATTTTGAAAGGATTTGTCTTCGTCCTCCTCCTCCTCTTGACAGATTTCGAGGGCCCATCCAAGTCAGACACCCTTGCCGACTCCAAGGTTACTCCTATTCTCTGAGGTTTAGCTTTGTTTGTTGTTTGGTGGCAGTTGTTTACGACGTCGCCGCCAAACTATACAATGCAACCAGTATGTTCTCGCGTGCGAGCGATTGTTGTGCCAGCCCCATGCCAAATCTCAGTAGCGCACCGAGGGCACTTAGTGGTTCACCAAGGGCGGCGTCGCAGAAATATCGATCTTCATCTCTTCATGATTCACATCCAGGGGCACTTCCAGGCGGCACGGCCGCCAAACATTTTTGTCCGGCGATAACGATCTTGACAGTAATGGGGATCAGCGATCAGTTCGGCGCCTCGCCCCTTGGACAGGGAGCCCTGGGCACCACTTCTAGGCCTCCCAGATGGGCCAAAAGCGCCGACGTCGCCGAATGATCGGCGATGCCTTGGCGATGCGGCACGATCCTCCGCCCCCATGCGCTCGGACCACACTCGGGAGGCCTCCACCTCTAGACAGGGACCCCCGGGCACCTCTCCGGGAAGGACCGTCGTACAACGTCTCTTGACGCAACCAGCCGCCGTCAAGCCGGCACCGCTGTGCGGTGCCGACGTTGGGACGGGTGGGACGGGGGGGGGATCAGAAGTTCACAGTCCGTCACAGTCCGTCCATCAGTAATCGCAGCGTTGGACCCGATGCAACCTTTGCCTTGGTCTTCGCCCTCTTTTCGGTTTGCCCCGGGTTAAACCGCCGATTTGGCATCCCCTCAGGTGGTGGTTCCCTCGCGGCTTCAGGATAGCCGTGTGTTTTCCAGATGTCAGTCGTGGCCCCCTCGTGGTCGTCGGCGGAGTCATCTGCGTCGCGGGTCTTGCTCAGCCTCTCCCACGCCCCGTTCCTCCCTACACCTCCTCTTCTGCGTGCCTCTATGTATCTCTCCTCCCCTTCTTCTTATCTTCCTCCTCGTCATCCTCCGCCTCCTCCTCCTCCTCCTCCTCCTCCTCCTACTCTTCCGCCTCCTCTTCCTCCTCCTCTTCTCCTCCTCTTCCTCGTCCTTTCTCCCCTCCCTCCCTCCCTCCCTCCCTCCCTCCCTCCCTCCTCCGCCGGCGGAGGAGGGAGGCGCCTCCTCGCTCGCGCCCCGCCAGGCCGCCGGAGCAGGCGGGGTTCCGGCAGGCGCGGGCCCCCGCCGGGCGGAGGGGCGGCACGGGCTCCCCATCGCGTTCGAGGGGGTTCGAGGTTCGAGGTTCGAGGGGGTTCTAGGGGGTTCATCGAGGTTCGAGGTTCGAGGTTTTCGGTCGTTCTCGTGGGTTCTCGGCGGTTTGCCAGCTCCGGGATGCGTTCCAGCGGCTGCGCCGCGGCGAGAGCGGTCCAGGGGTGCCAGGATCGCCCCGAACGGCCGCCGGAGACTCGAGGTATGACCCAAAAGTCAGATTCGGCGGTGCGACCGGGACGGCGAGCTGTAGAACCCCAGACCCCCCCCGCGTTGTGACAAAGTCGCGACGGGAGGTCTTATCCGTTTCCGGCCTCCGGGGGCCCTCGCCGGGGCTCGGGGCGGTCAAGAGTACGGTTCAGGATGCAAAACGGGTGCCGGGGAAGGGGTCGAGACCTGTGGGGGTCGACGATGTGAGAAAAAAATATAACCAAGCCGGGGGTCTGGGTATTGTAATATGGTTTCCCGCCGTCGAGGACGCCTGCCCCAGGGCGGCTAGACAGATTATACCCCGACGGGCCAGCGTAGGGGCATGCACATGTTCTGGCCGACATGAGCCTGGCGTCCCCGACGGTGGCGAAGTGAATCTTGTTCGGAGGAGGGGTCTGAGAGTGAGGAGGAGAAGGGGGAGGAGGAGGAGGAGGAGGAGGAGGCGGAGGAGGAGGAGGAGGAGGAGGAGGATAACCAGAGAATGCCCAGTTGAGACAACCGTAGTTGGTCTGCGTGGGGCAGCCTCGTGGCCCTGACTGGACGCAGCTCGGACGTATGTTGTTTTGACTTTGCGTTTGGACCCCAGGCGGGGTCCAGGGACCGATGTTGAGCTGCCGTTGTCTCGGCGTGCCTTGCTCCCTTGCTCCGTAGACGCGCTGACGGTGATGTAGGTAACGGCTATGTGGGTTTGGCCATTGCAGGTGGGTTTGGTTCGTGTCCAGACCAATTGTAGGTCATGGTGGCTCGCGCTTTCCTACACTTCACTGCGCTGTTTTCGCTCGAGACGTTCGCAACTTTGACATGTAAGACAGTGTCCTTCGCGATGTCCTACAATTTGTTTTGCGCGAGTTCGGTGTCACAAAAATCAGGTTCCCAACGTCGCCGTTCTCCAACATCGCCGATAGCGCGGCCTTGCTTGCTCCGAAAGTAGGAGCAGCATGGTTTTCGAGGAGGGCGCCCCTGTCGGCGCACCTGGCGCCGCCCGTTGCACGCTCGGCGCCCCTAGGGCGACCGCACGCATGTCGCGCGGGCCTTCGAGAGTTCCTGGTTGTGTTTTGATGGATGAGGAGGGGGAGGAGGAGGAGGAGGAGGAGGAGGAGGAGGAGGAGGAGGAGGGAGGAGGAGGAGGGGAGGACGGCGGAGGAGGAGGAGGTGGAGGAGAGGAGGAGGAGGAGGAGGAGGATGGAGAGGAGGCGGAGGCGGAGGCGGAGGCGGAGGAGAAGGCGGAGGCGGAGGCGGAGGAGAAGGAGGAAGTCAGGCAGGCATAGGATGAAGAGAAGGCACTCCAAGGCGCTCTGGAACTCTTTCAGGGCGTCCCTGCGCGCTCTGACACTAAAACGGCCGCGGGGGGGGGGTCCCAGGCCTTCCGGTTGCGCACTCTCAGGGATTCCAATTTCTCCCGATCCGAGTTCGTGCTCGCCCTATCTTCGTCTCAAGAGAAGTCTAAGATGGAGGAGGAGATGGAAGATGAGGAGGGGGAGGAGGAGGAGGAGGAGGAGGAGGAGGATGCCCTCGCAGGTTCGTCGCTCTCCCCCGCCCTCCAGGGGTCGCTGGGGGACCTGCTTTCCCCGATCCTCGGCAGGTCCTTCCTCTGTTCCGCGTGCTTATTTTGCGATTTTCTGCTTCGATGTAACTGGTTTGATCAACCCCGCCCCGCGGAACGGCAGCATCTCCGGGGAAATGAAGACTCGAGTTCGCTGGACTTCGGGCTTGCCCACGCTTTTTGACGGGCCCCCTCGTGAATGGTGAGGGTCCAGATTTCGTGCGATGCTGGCAGCGGGAGCTCGCGTCAAATCTCAGGCTGGGTCTCATCATTGTTTTGAAGACCCCGTCTGGCCAACTCGAGCCCTCGGAACACGATGCTCACGCCTCGCCGATTGTGGATAGACTTTCATGTCTGATGCCATCAGTCGAGGAAGAGCAAGCCGCATAAGCAGAAGTGTTTGACCAGCCGCGCGGATTTCTTGAGTCAGCGCTGGGCCTTCTCTGGCGGTGCCTCCGGCGCCGCCCATAGTGCGTTCTTCCTCACCAAGGCGAAGTTCTTCTCAGTGTTTGGCAGCGACGAGCACTATTGTAAGCATCGCAGTGGCCATGTCGCACACGGGGCTAAGGTGTCGTGTGCGGGGCGTCTCCCTGCCAGTCAGAACGTGACCTCAGCCACGCAATGGTTGATCTACTATACACATCGTTCTCATGTCGTCCCAAGTGAAGGGGCCCCTGGGAAAAAGGGCCAGATCTTCTCCGGACCTCGTACGTGACAAACCAAGGCATCGGATGGCTGGGTGTGAAGTGACTGCTCCACGTGGGCGACGCCTGTCACAGGGCGACTAAAGCCGCACGCGCCGCAGGGGGGGGGCAACTTCTCTGGCCGCCCCGAGACAGGCGTGCGCGGCGGAGAAATTTCTTTTCAGACCGCTTGTCGCCCGCCAAGTGAAGACGATGGGGTCCTGAGCGAAGCAGGTCCTGGATATGTTTAGCAGCGTTCTGGCTCCCAGGGCCGTCAACAATCACAGTCTCGGATGCAACTCCTGGGAGATTAGATTCTGATTTTGCCCTGGTTCGCAGCCCGGTTCCATCCAGTTTAATGTGGCTCAATCCCGCTTAATCTGGCACATTCCCGCTGAATCCGCCTCAGGCCTTTTTGATCCGCGGCCTGATCCGGCGTGGCATGCCCCAAATAGGCTTCATCCGCCCGAGCCCTTCCGACAAAGGCCTCCCCGCAGCCTGCCTCCTGACACAAATCGGGTTTCGCGGATTGAGTGAAACAGCTTTTCCCTCTGTTTCCGCCGAACGCCCGAACGACAACCATTGGTATGCCCATGCGTGTCGTTCTGGGGCGTCGGGGACCTCGACTACCTCTTCCTGCTCTCCTCGTCCTTGTCCTCCTCTCCTCCTCCCCTCCTCTCCTCGTCCTCCTCTTCCTCCTCAGGGGCCCGCGGTCCACGAGCAGCTGCCACCAGTTCCCCATGCTGATGCCCAGCGAAGAAGAAAGAACGGTATGAACATAAACTGTCGGCGCTCCGCGCGGATTCCTTGGATCGGCGCCTCGGCCCCTTTGGCGGCGCCGCCCCTGGCGCCGCCTCTGGCGCCGACCCTGGCGCGCTCCGTGCGCCAGGGAGGGGGGCCCAGGGCGGATCCCAAACGTCCGCGCGGCCTCCAAAAGTACATGTTTATGCCGTTTGCTTCCTCCAGCCCGGGGAGAACAGATCCAGAGTTCCGGGGGGAGGGGGGGGGCACAGGTATGGAGGCTTGGAGACGTATCCACTGCTTTCCAAAGCCGCCCCCACGCCAACCCGAAGGCCCCAGACCGTTTCAAATCTCGGCTTGGGGTGTTCTACAGGCTCCATCGCGTGTTCTCCGTAATCTACCTGGTCCAGAATAGTTATCCGGAAACACGAGGGAGCCCCGTACAACAACCCCACGGGGGGTCGTACGGGTTCCATCTTGTTTCTTCAATGTTCCAGTGGGGGGGGGGCACTGCAGGAGTGCCCCCCCCCACCAGAACTTGACGATCCCAACGGTGGCTTCGAGCTGGGGTGCGGTATTGGCTATAGGTCGTCATGCGTTGTTGGACCTTTCTGGGCCTGCCAAGGCGCCCGCGTCACCGATGCTGCTGGAACGCACTCCAGGCTCGATCTTGAGGCCCGATCTCGAGGAGGGGGGGGAGGGCAGGCAGAGGGAGAGACTGTGAGATCCGGCGTTGCGGAAAACATTAGACATTGCGAGTGATCGCGACGGGGCCCTTGTTCACATCTCTCTGTTCGTGTTTCGAGCCCGATCGATCTGCGATGGCATTGGGGCCCGAATATCAGCGAACATTCTCGGTGCAAGCAAAAGGGAACGCACCGCGATGCTTCAAAAATCGTGTCGTCGGAGGTCTGGGTGGAGACCTTCTCTCCTCACAGCCTCTGGGGCGCGAGCGCGCGCGCGCGCGCTGGCAGCTGGACCTGGGCGCCATCATCGCCAAGGATCGCGAGGTCTGCCAGCTCCAGCAGATGCTCACTGAGGAGCCACAGCCGCCCCCCCCTTTGGGTATGAAGCTCCCGCCCAGCCTCTCCTCGGCGGGCGTACCCGGGCGGTCGGCGGTTGGTCTGTCTCTGCGGTCCGTCTCTCCTCCCTCCCTCCTCCTCTCCCACCTCCATCCTCCTCCGATTTCTCCTCTCTCCACTTTTGTTATACCGACGCCACTCCTCCCTCCGCTGTCTGCCGCCTCTCCCCTTTCCTGCCTGTCTTCTGCGGCTGCTGCTGCTGTGCTGCCTGCTATCTTCTTCTCCTGGCTCCCTCCGTGTGTTGGTGCGTGTGTGTGTAGTGTATGTGTGTAGTGTGTGTAGTGTGTGTAGTGTGTGTGTGTGTGTGTAGTGTGTGTGTGTGTGTGTAGTGGGTGGTGTGTGTGTGTGGTGGGTGTTGTGTCCCGCTCCTCTCGCCCGTCGTTCTTCTCATTCGTCTTCATCGTTGCCGAGGTGGCTGAGGAGTTCGTTTGTCTGCCTGTCCAGAATCCATGCTTCCATCTGCCTGCTGCCGCGCGGGGAATTCCAGCACCCGAGTTGCGTGAGACATGGCTGGCCTGGTCCTCCCCCTTCCCCTATGCTGCCGCCGCCCCCCTGCCAGCTGACTGCCGCCGTGTCCCTCCTTCTTCTACCCGCTGCTCCTTCGGCGTTCCCCCGAGGGCGTCTCGCTCCCCGCAGTTCCGCAAGCGCAGGCCTCTCGGCCCCGTGTTTCAGTCCGGGGGCCACCATTCAGGAGGGAAACAAAACACGCAGACACGACCCATCGTCGATTCCCCAGAAAACATGGGAAACTATGGGCAGCGGGGGGGAGGCAAAAGTCCAGATAAGATGAGAACATATACGGGGAATCCTTTTTTATTTGTGCGTATTCGTTTGTGTGTCCCAGGGCCCCTTCAACCGTGCTGAGAGCTGGTGGGGGGTGCGGGGGGGGGGGGCACGCCAGGAGCGTGGCGGCGGCAGGGGCAGGCCCTGCGGCCGGAGCCCCGTCCGAGCGGCTCGGCGGCTGGCCGTGCGCAGGCAGGCCAGCGAGCGGGCGAGCGGAACGCCTCTCTCCTCCTCCCGTCTCCCTCCCTTCCCCTCTCCCTTCCCCACCCCTCTTCCACTCCTCCCCGCCCCTATCCTCCCATCTCCTCCCCCTCTCCTCCTCCTCCTCCTCCTCCTCCTCCTCCTCCTCCTCCTCCTCCTCCTCCTCCTCCTCCTCCTCCTCCTCCTCCTCCTCCTCCTCCTCCTCCTCCTGGTCTTCCTCCTCCTCCTCGTCTTCCTCCTCCCCCTGCTCTCCCTCCACCTCTTCTCTCTCTCTCTCTCTCTCTCTCTCTCTCTTCGCCTCCCCTCCCTCTTACTCTACTCCTCACTTTCCTCTCTCCCTTCTCCCTCGTCGCAGTCCCCATGAGGCCGCCTGCACCACGCAGTCCCACTTCGCAGTCCCCCCCCCCTCCGCCTCCCCTCCCTCCCTCCCTCTCCCTCCCTCCCTCCCCTCCCCTCCCTCGTTCTTCTCCCTCCTCCCCTTCTCCCCTCCTCCTCCCCCCCCCCTCCTCCTCCGCCCCCTCCTCCCTCCTCCTCCCCTCCCTCCGCCCCCTCCTCCTCCCTCCTCCCCCTCCTCCGCCCCCTCCTCCTCCCCTCTCCTCCCCTCCTCTTTCCCTGTTGCTGAGCATCTGCCGGCCCAACATCGTGGGCGGCGACTGCCCGGGAGGCGCGCAGGAGGCCGCAAGGTACGTCGGGCACCTCGTGTCCCGGGGAGCGCCGCAGCGTGCGACGCACTCTCTGCATCGCGTCGGGGGTTCTCTTCCCGTCTTCGTCGTCTTCGTCCCCTGCTTCGGTCCTTTCTTCCTTCTCCCGTGGGGCAGTCTCGGGGCACTCCCCTGGGCCGTCTTCGGGCTCGCCTTGGCTGTTTGGCATGCGTGTGCTCCCTGCGCGGCCCCAGGGCGCCAGGCTCACCCTGGGTCTCGTGTTGCTGTCCTGTCCCGGGTGCACCGCTGATTGCCCCTGGGCCCGATCGGGGGTGGACAGAAACCCCAACAGTGACACGTCGATTACTGAATTGTCTGTTTTCGGTTCTCGAGATGGCGCCGCGGCCGTTATTTTCCAGGCTTGCGCCCGCCAGGTTTGGGCTTCAGGACGTTTTCACTAAACCACGTTTTACTAAAGGAGGGTCTGTCCATCCTCGACCCGAGACTGGCCCAGGAGCCCGGAATCTGGGACGCAGAACGCCTGGCTTGAACAGAGCACCTCGTCGGAGATGGGAGATGTTCCCCACCGCGAGGGTGTTGTGTGGAGGAGAACTTCTGGCGCGCAGCGGTCCTCCCCCAGATGGGCGTCGCGTAGTGGTGGGGCGGTAAATGAGAGGGCAGAGAGGAGGGCTGCAGAAAAGGGGCTCTTCGGGGCCCCTGAAGGGGCCCTTCAGGGTGTCAAAGGGGGGCCCTATCAGGCCCGAGAAGTGCACCTTCTTCCGCCCCATTTTTCGCACCCTCGTTCAGGGACTCCCGAGCACGTACGGGGGTGGCTTGGACTCCTCCCCACCAGCTTGCGCTCGCGCGCGTATTATGGCGATCGCAGCGCACCCTCGTCCTGACGGGCCCCACCCCGCCAGAGCGTTCTTCTTACCCAGGGCCCCATCCTGCGGGGAAACGACCATTACAGGACAATGCACAAACAATCCCGAGACGGGCTACCAGGAAGGCTCGACCCATTCCCGGGACCGGACGCTCATCCCGAGTCGTCTTTTGACGGTCGCAGGGTTTGGCCAGGAGAGGCCGAAAGTGCGGAGAAATATGTCCGTCCTGATGTTGTCAACACGTTGGACATGTTGGAGGGCGACGAGGGAGACGACGACGACGATGACGACGACGACGACGACGGCGATGATGGCGACGACGACGACGGCGGCGACGACGACAACGACGACGACAACGGCGACGGCGACGGCGACGGCGACGGCGCGGTTGCCTGCTCGGCTCGCCCACCGCTCGCGGGGGCCGCCGCCGCCACAGGAGCTCTCCAGGCGAGGCGAGCTCGAGGCCCGGCTGGAGCTCTACGACCTGCAGTGCCGGCAAGGAGCGCCCGGGCGCCGAGTCGCCAGGGAGGAAACTTTCGATGATCGGGGGCGGCCAGGAGGGAGGTGATGACAAGGGGGGGTGGACATCATGGCTGGGGCCATGAAATCTCCCCAGATTTCACAGCGCCTTGTCTCAGTTCATTATGTCCTTGGCCCCCCCTGGGCCGCGCACGTGCCGCCGGCCATCACTTGTGCCCTCCCATCTTCGACGCCCCTATTGTGGCCGCCCCCGAAAGGAACGCCCGGGCGCCTCGTCGGAATCGCCAGGGAGGTGTCATCCAAGAGAGAACAAGAACACACAGACACAATTAATCGCCGATTCCTTAGAAAATATAGGAAAATACGGGAAGTGGGGGAGAAGACAAAAACCTAGAAAATATAGCAAAATATATGGAATTCTGTTATTTGTGTGTGTGTATTTAGTTGTGTGTCCCAGGGCCCTTTCAGCCTCGTTGGAATCGCCAGGTAGGTGTCATAAACATAAGAAGCTCTGAGGTCTGCGCGGATTTCTCGGATCTGCGCTGGGCCTTCCTGCCGGCGCCTCCTGCGCCGCATTTGCCGCGGCTCGCGCGCCGGGGAGGGGGTCTGCGACGATCCGAGAAACCCCTGCGGTCCTCAGAATTTTGATGTTCATGCCATTGCTTGTTCCCCCGTGCACGTAAGGAGGAGGAGGAGGAGGAGGAGGAGGAGGAGGAGGACGAGGAGGAGGGCCGCCAGATGACCGAACGCGATGGCGATAGCGACGTCCTGCGCGCTCGAGTGTGGCCTCCCCACAAGGCCCCCGAAAGCTGCGCGTCAGGGGCCGTTCTTGCCTAGGGTTAGGTCGGGCCTGTCCCTCTACAGGGGGATTTTCGACGAAAAATAAGAAATACACCAAACATCGTCAAAAAATGCCCCAAAGATAGTCCAGGGACTATTTTTTAGTATTTTGATAGCTTTTTGGAGTATTGTTTGGGGGTGTTTTTCATTTTTCGTAGAAAATCCCCTTGCAGGGGGCACGCCCGACAGAAGCCTAGGGTCTCTCCTGCTGGTAGCCGAAGCCCCGCCGTGCTCGCGTCGGGAGGTGTTTGGCCCATTCTCCGCCTCGGGGGCCCCTCGCCGGGCTCATGGGACCGCCGGAGCAGGACTTGGGGATGAAACGCCGGCCCCGCAGAAAGGGTCGGAAGGCAGAGGAGGCAGGCAGAGGAGGGAGAGGAGAGGAGGGGGGGAGGGAGGAAGGGAGGTGACGTGTGGAAGAGAGAGGAGGAGGGGGGGAGGGAGGAACGTGCGATAGAGGAGGGGAAGAAGGGGGGAAAGAGGGTGAGGGGAGGATCGAGGAGGGGGCGGAACATGCAGGGCGAAGGAGGGATGGGTGGAGGAGGGAGGGGAAGGACGGGGGAAGAAGAAGGAGCGATGAGGGAGGGAGGATGGGCAAGGACGTCGGAGGAGGATTTTCGTGCCAGCCTCCTTTTGTATGATCACTGTTTGACCATGACTTTCATGACTTTCATGCTTCATTTTGACATGGGGGTTCGGGTTCGCCCACAGACGCCCACATTGGCGCAGGGCTTCGTGCTACGCGCCGCGCACCGCGTCACAGGCGGCCACTGCCACGGCCGCGTGCTCTCACGGCACCAGTACTTTGGCCGTGCAGCTGCACTTCATGCTCAAATCATTAAGACCGCAACTCGGCCAGAAGTGATGGAGGACGGGGAGGAAGAGGATGCCCTGACGCCCTGCATGCTCTCGTGCGCGCTAGCGTCTCCCTGGGCGTCTTCGAGCGTTCGACCCATGAGCGGTACGGTGCATCGCTGTCCAGCCCTCGGAGCTGAAGCAATGTTGCACCATACCGCGATGGAGCGGGGCAGAAAGGGAGTCCACACATGGCACGGTGCATAGGCGTATTCTCGTACAGCAGGAGGAGGAGGCGGAGGAGGAGGAGGGGAGGAGGACGGGGAGAAGGAGCAGGGAGCAGGGCAGAGGAGGCAGGAGGAGGAAGAGGAGCCTCCTCCCACCCTCCTCCGTGCCGCGTCGGCGACGGCGAACGCCGTCGAAGCGTGGGCGGCGGCACCGAAGTGGGCGGCACGGCCGGGAGCGAGGGAGCCGTGCGCCGGAGGCCGCCGCGAGGACCCCCAATCCCGAGCTAGTCGCGAACGTTCCTCAGGGGGGAAAGGAAAACAGACACAATGAATCGTCGATTTCTCAGAACCTATTGGAAAATATGGGAAGTGGGGGGACACAAAAACTTAAAAAAATATTGGAAAATTTGGTGCGTCCTGTTACTTGTGTCTACCTATCTGCGTGTCCCAGGGCCCCTTCAGTTTCCGCAGCGTGGACGCCCCCCCGTGCAGGTGCTGCCCCTGCTCTGGGGCTGGCACGGGCCGCCGCGGGCCCCGGACCCCCTCGCGCTGCGGAAAAAAACACGGCGGGAGGTCTTTCGCCATGTTCGGCCTCCAGGGGCCTTTCCCGGGCCTCGGGGCCGTCAGAAAACGACTCCGGATGAGAAGCCGGTCCCGTAGAAGGGGTCGAGACCTCTGGGGGTCGGGGTTGTGAGAAAATCACGGCGTCGGAGGTCTGGGATGGGTGTCTTGTGTGCCTCCTCCTCCTCGTCGTCGCCCCCCTCCCTCCTGTCGTCCCTCTGCCCTCTGCTGCCGCACGTCGTCAGGACGCACGGGTGCATTGGTCGGGCCCTATCCGTCGAGGCACGGTCGGAGGCGGCATTCGTCTTGGGACCCCTGCGTCCGTGCGGTGGCAGCAGTGGTACTCGGGTCGCTCGTGCCGACGGTCCGGGGCTGCGAGTGGCGAAGCTCTTGCCTCTCTTCGAGGGCTGCTGGGGAGGGGGCAGCGGAGTGACGTCATACGCATCATACGCATATTCAAATTCAACCTCGCCATCCTTGGGCGTTCACCACGGAAGTTCGACACTTCACACCACTTTCGAGGGCTGCTTGTGGGGGTGGGGCAGCGGAGTGACACCACACGCAGATTCAGAAATGTTAGACCTCGCCATTCCTGGGGGGGGCGCGTGATCTGCAACACCGTCGCCACTTTCAAGGGCTGCTGGGGGAACCAGCGGGGTAGCGTCCTACGCAGCTTCGTATGCAGCCCTCGACATCCCTGGGCGGGCTGCGACTTGCGAGGCTGTCGCCACCCTCGAGGGCTGCTGGGGGGGGGGGTCCAGCGGCGCGACGTCGGAAGGCGGACTGAAGCTAGACTTCAGTCGTGCCTGTCCCCCTACAGGGGGATTTTCGACGAACGTTAAAGAATACCCCAAACAATACCCAAAAAAGGTAAAAGAATGTTCAAAGCATAGTCCCCAGACTATTTTTGGATTATTCTTTTGATTTTTTTGTGGTATTCTTTCATTTGTCATAGAAAATCCCCTCTGTAGGGGGATAGGCCCGACTTAAAGCTAGACCTCGCCATCCCTGGGCGGCTGGGAGTTGCTAAATGCACCCCTGTTCGAAGGGGCTGCTGGGGGGCCAGCGGAGTCACGTCATGCGCGGATGCCGACTCGACCTCGGCATCCCTGCGGGGGCTGCGACCTGCGAGGCCGTCGCCACTCGAGGGCTACCAGGAACTCAAGCGGACTGACGCCTCGCGCGGGCTCAGGTGGGCATTGGTTTCGTTTCCCGCGGTCCGCCCGAAAACCGTGCTGGGCGCCTGCTGGCGTTTAGCTCCCGCGCTGAAAGCTGCAGGAAGGAAGCGGAGAACTGGGCGGGCGAGCTCGGCCTGGCTCGCTGCCTGCACGAGCTATGAACAACTGGTCCATTCGAGCGCCAGTGGCGACACGGCGCGGGCCGCGCAGCTTGTCCAGCGTGCCATTGGATCATGAACGCCATCCTCCTTCCTCATTGTGCCTGTTTCGTCGTCGTCCTCTTCCTCCTTCACCGTCTCCTCACTGCTGCTGTCGCATAAACTTTTCGGCCACTCTTCCGTCCTTTTCCTGCCACTCGTTCCCGCTCCATGTTTTCCGATGCTTCGTTCAGTCCTTGTCGCTTTGTTGCTGTCTTGTGAGTTGTGCAGCGCGCGTACTTCCAATAGAGCGTGCGCAACCAACACCAATTACTCATGCCACTTAGTGCAGATGGATTGGGTACGCCGCAGCGCATTCCCCCCAGTCGATTCTCGACGCTCCCGGGGGCCAGACGAGGGCACCCCGGGGCCGAACAGCGCCAAGGACTTGTTCCACGGCGCTAGGGAGTTAGTCCATGGGAGGTGCGGCTTCGGAGGCAGTTGTTTTTCAGATTCTGGCAGTTATGCTTGCGTGGAGGGGAGGCGGGGGGGCGTGGTCAGGCCCGAAAGAGAGTCTGAACTTCACGCAGGCCGACTTGCACGCCTGTGCGGTCCCTTTCTCTTGGAAGCGGCGGCGGGGTGGGCGGGGAATGCCATGCAAGTGCACGTGCCCGAGTCGAAGGAAAGCAGCATCCCTGTCGCGCGGGGCAGGCCTCCGGACGGCCTCACGCGTGCCTCCAGCAGGCCTCCGGAGGGCCGTCGGGGTGGCGCCGAGGGCTTTTCCAGGGAAGGCCAGGCAGGTGCGCCTGCCGGAGCGGCCCCCAGAGGCGCCTGGGTGACGCCGCGGCAGTCGCCGTCGGAGGCTGCTGCGCCGGGCGCGTGCCAGGGCGCGGGCGGGCACCAGGCCGCGCAGCGCCGCCGCCGCCGCCGCCGCCGCCGCCTTCCCCAGCGCCCTGGGTGGTCGGCGTCGTGGTCGGCGTCGCGCGCGGTCGGGTGTTGCTGGAAGTGCCCCTGGCCCAAGGAGCCCCGAGGTTTCCCATGGAGGCCCCCACGGCCTCCAGAAGCACCCCCCACGAGGCCCAGAGGGCCCCAGGGGCTGCAAGGCTGAGAGAACAGCTGGGGGCACCTTGGGCCAGGGCACCTTTAGCAGCAACCCTCGACGGGCGGTCATGGCTTGGAGCCTTCTGTCGGCGGCGAGCCCGGGGGGGAACAGCGAATGGGCGGGCCTTATCAGAAGGCTCGGAAGTCCCCTGGCCTTCTGAGAGGGCTTCTGAGAAGCCCCGCCGCCTTCTGAGAAGGCCTTCTCCTTTCCACCATCCCCCCCTCGCCCGCCGCCGAATCTGGGGGTCTGAGTCGGCCCAACACTGGTTCCAGCCAGCAGGAAGGGCGGGCAGGTTCGAGGTCTGGGGTTCGGGAAGTGTTTTTTGCTTTAGGGGCTACACCAGATGGACCCAGGCAGTGTTCGTGGACCGGTTTTGAGTTCACCCCCTCTTCTGATAAATCTTCTAGTGTCCCGACCAATTTAGACCTCCTGGCCGCCTCCAAGTCATGGCGTTAGCTGTTACCGTGGTGGTCGCGTTTTCAGATCTAGCCTTCTAAATGGTTTCCGAGTAGATGGGGTTGGAGGATCGCGCCGCATCGCCGATGCATCGGCGATGCGGCTCGATGTGGATCACGAATTTCTTCACGTCGACGTCGCCGATGCATCGCCAATGTATCGTCGATGCGGCGCGATCTTCCAACCCCATCTACTCGGACCTCAGTTGGGAGACCCCTAGACGTGGTCATTTTGTTCGCCCTTGGCGAGTTGAGTCAACGGTAGCTGGCCGGGGGTGTCCCTCGTCTCCACGGCTGGACTCATCTCGGAAAATTGGTGCGTTCGGTCCCCATGAGGTGTCTGGGGACCGAGTCAGAGCCTCCGTCCTCTTAACTCGCCATGCTCCGAGTGGTCGTCGAATTCGCGGTGTCCTCCTCCTCCTCCGCCTCCTCCTCCTCCTCCGCCGCCTCCTCCTCCTCTTCCTCCTCCTCCTCCTCCTCCTCCTCCTCCTCCTCCTCCTCCTCCTCCTCCTCCTCCTCCTCCTCCTCCTCCCCCCCCCACTCCTCCTCCGCCGCCGTGGCGGTTTCTGAAGTTTGTGTTGCCGTTTTCGGGCCCTCGGGGTCTTCCACGGGCCCCAGGTCGCCAGGGAGAACGGCTCACTGTATGAAAAGCTCGTCTTGGGGAAAGACACCAGGGTCCAGGGCTCGTGTCCCTCAGGACCCGTTGCCCCCATGCTAAGGGACCAAGGGGGGGGGCAGAGGAGGAGGAGGAGGAGGAGGAGGAGGAGGAGGCGGAGGAACAGCAGCAGGAGCAGCAGCAGGAGGAGGAGGAACAGCAGGTGTCCGATGTTGGATCGGCTCCGCTGCCCCGCAGTCGGCTGCGCTCGCTTCGGTGGCGGCTGGCGGTGGGCTGCCGCGCCGCGGCGTCCTTCGGGTGCCGCTTCCAGTCCGTCGGTTCGAGTCTCTGTGATTATCGGCTTGGTCGGTTTCCGATGTTGATGTCGCCTTGGACGTCTACGGTCAGGAACGAACACAAAGACGTGTGCGTACCCATCCGTCGCTGAAAGTAGGTATTTGTGGATTTCCAGATTCCCATATATATTTCAGACGCGTTTCTACTTCAATGATCGAGTGGCTTCACCTTTTCCGTTCTCCTTCGGGGGCGGGGCGGACACCCAATCATTTGACAACGCCTTCCTACTACCACCCAATCTTCTTTCGACGCCTTCCTACTTCATGTTTCTTCCTACCTTTTCCGACCGACCGGTACATGAATCAACGCTGGTTTCGAGATTACGCATTGCGCGAACCTTCGCATCACGCGGCTGGTCTCGCGGATTGGGGGGCGGTTCTCATGTATGTGGGTGGGCGCGTACGTCTTTGGTGGGCTACTGTCTGGGGGAGGATGCACGGGATCCGGAAACATCGTTCCAGAACGTTCCCGGAAGTTCTCAGAACGCCGCCGGCACCCGGTACATATTATTCAGAACCGCCAGATCTCGGAATCCGGACTTGTTCCGATCCGATGGTTGTCCCGGTTGGGGCTTCGTCTCAGGAGTAGGGGTAGGAGGAGGAGGAGGAGGAGAAGGAGGATGACGAGGAGGAGGAGGAGGAGGATGAGGAGGAGGAGGAGGAGGAGGAGGAGGAGGGGTAGGAGGAGGAGGAGGAGGAGGAGGAGGAGGAGGATGGAGGATGGAGGAGGAGGCGGAGGGAGGAGGAGGGGTAGAAAGAGGAGGAGGAGGAGGAGGAGGAAGAGGAGGAGGGAGGGGAGGGAGAAGCTTGGTTGAGCTCGAGACCTGCCGCTGCAAGGCCCGGGCCCTTGGCCTGGGCGTGCCCCTCCCAGGCACCGCTGGCCCAAAAAAGTACACCGGAGTGGCGTCAAGTCTTGCCTCGGACTGTGAGGTTCAGGAAGGGGAAACACACAGGCACAATCAATCGTCGACCCCCAAGAAAATATGGGAACAGATGGGAAGTGGGGAGGAGGACATAAACCCAGAAACTGTGGGGAGATACGGGGGAATCTGGTTATTTGTGTCTATTTATTTGTGTGCCCCAGTTCCCCTTTAGATGTTCCAACCTACTTCAGCCTGGATCACCAGAAGGAGCTTCGAGCACCGAAAAGGCACCGAGACTGGAGCGTCTTCCCGTGTTGGGCCCCGGGAGGCGATCCTCCTGCAATTTTGTTTCGATAGTCGTTTGTGTGCTGGGCATTATTTTTGGCATGTGGCCTTGAAGTGCGATGGGGGCAACCGAAGCCTCGGAGTAGGCTCGGGGCTCACGAGGTCCTTTGTGGGGGGTCTCCTCGGGCGCTCCTCCTGGACCTTTTTGAAGGCTCAGAAGGTTCCTCCTTCCCCTCCTCCTCCTCCTCCTCCTCATCCTGCCTCCTCCTGCCTCCTCCTCCCTCCTCCCTCCTTCCTCCTTCCTCCTTCCTCCTCCTTATAGACTTTGTCTTGGGACTCCAACTCCAACTCCAACTCCTTCCTCCTCCACCTCCTACCCCTCCTCCTCCTCTTCCTCCTCCTCCTTCTCCTGCTCCTCCTCCTCCTCCTTCTCCTCCCCCTCCTACTAGCGAGGAGCGCCCGAGGAGCCTTTGTGGTTCGAGCGTCAAAGCCAAATTGCTCGGTTCGTTTCGCCTTCAACAAATTGCTGGATCACGCTGGTCCGGTTCGGTTCGGGCAGTTCGCTTCGGTTCCAGAGGCATCTTGTGAGCACGCATCCGCGGCTGGGGTCAGAAAGGGGCTCTGTTCCCTATTGAGCGTCTTCCCATGGCAAGGCCTCGACTGGATAGTCGTCTCCAGCTCCGACGTCGTCGGCGTTCTCGCACAGGACATTCCTCTCAGGCCTGGAAATCGCGGCGCATGCGCAAAGGACGAGGTCATGCTGCCTCTGGTTTCAAACCGGTTGGCTTGCGGCTCCCGCAATGCATGCGCGCCCGGCCAGGTCTCGAGATATTTCTCGCGTGCGTTGGTTGGTGGCTGCGTCGTCGCCACATTCCCCTGCGCACCGTATTCCTAATATTGAAGTCGGGCATGTCCCTCTACCTTGGGAATACACAACAACAGCTTAACTAAACATAGTCAAGGGACGTTTGTTGTATCAGTAAATTGTGATTGTTTGAAATACTTTTTGACTATGCTTCATTTTTCTTGACCTAAGCCTAGTCCTTTTCCCCTGCTTCGGATGCAACACCCGGCGAAGGTCACGAACTCTGCCTGTGCCCTGGTCCAACATTCGGCACGGACGACATGGGTACGGAAAGGCCCTCCGCGGCCCCATCGGGCGTAGCAGCCCCCCAATGTTCAGGAGGGAACAAAATCACACAGACACAATTCATCGGCGATTCCCCAGAACATATGGGAAGCAGGGGGGAAGACAAACACCCGGAAAATATAAGAACATATGGGGAATCGTGTTATTTGTGTCTACTTATTTGTGTGTCCCAGGGCCCCTTGGAAATGTGGCTTGGTCCTCCTCCATCCTTTGGGCGAACACCTCCCGGCAGATGCCACCCTCCTGGCCTTAAGTTGGGCCTGTCCTTCCCTCTACAGGAGGAACGCTCAACAATAGTCAGGACAAAGGGTATGGGGACGATTATTCTACTGTTTTTGGCCAGTTCGGGGCATTGTCGGACTATGTTGTATCCCTCGTCCAAAATCCGCCCGTAGGGGGACTTGCCCGACCCAGTACCAGCCCTGGTTTTCCTCTTCCACCTCGTCGTTCCGTCTGGTGCAGGCACGGGGGAAGGGGGGCGCCAAGCAAGACGACAGCCTCGAGGAGCCCGACCCCACGGGCCGTCCAACAAGCGAAACAGTGCGGGGTGGAAGTCCACCCCCAGCGGAAGGGGGCGAGGCGAGACTGAGAAGGCCCAGGGTTCGCCAGGGATTGGTCTCCCCCCCAAACCACGAGAACTCCTCCGAAAGCCTCCCGACATCCTCGGAGGTTTCGGGAGGGTTTCGGCCGTTCGCCGTTCTGAAAGGAAACCAGTCCCTAGCGTTACGTCGGGCATGTCACCCTACAGGCAGATTGTGAAAGGAAATTTTGAAATATTCAAAGATGCTCAAACATATTGACACATACTCACAAAATCGCCCCCATATAGTATTTAAACTTTTTCCGATTACTCCTGTGAAGGGACGTGCCCGACTTAATCCTAGCGAGCCCTGGACTTTCCAAGTCGAGACCTCTGGGGCTGCGAAGCGGCCGCGGCATCGAAGCTCTGGGGACAGCTGCGAGGCACCCTCGTCTTGGTCCGACCGCGCGTCGCGAGGCCTGCCTGCCGCACCCCTTCTGTTCCGCACCATGCCCGAAGGTGAGAGGAGGAAAAGGTATCCATCGGCGCCCGTTCCCCCCGTGGAGCCCCTCCCCCGTTCCCCCCCGTTCCCCCGTGGAGCCCCCTCCATCGGTGACCCTCGCACCCCCGTTCCCCCCCCCCCGTGGAGCCCCTCCCCCATCGGACACGCTGTTGCAAACAGTCGCGTTAAGCATGGGTCTGGAGCCAGACCCCCTCCCCAGTCACCCAATGTCGAAACGCCGAATATCAGGAGGGGAAGAAACACACGGACACAATTAATCGTCGATCCCTAGGAAAATATGGGAAAATATGGGAAGTGGGGGGGAAGACAAACACACAGAAAATATGTGAAAATATGGGGAACCTTTTTATTTGTGTGTATTTATTTGTGTGTTTGTGGGCCCCTTCAGAATAAGAAAACGCTCATTCACCCTCGCCCCGTGTTCGGTTTTTTGGCCCCACGGGAGGCCTTCGCCGCCACCGCAGGATTCGCCTCGAGAGCCATGTCAGAACGCACCCCCGTCAGAGGTCCGGGGAGCAGCGGTATCGGCACCTGTCGGTTTCCCCCGAAGGTGCCGTGGAAGGGAGGGGGGAGGGGGAGGGGGAGGGGGGGAGGGGGAGGGAGGAGGGAGGGGGAGGAGGAGGAGGGGGGGAGGGAGGAGGAGGGGGGAGGAGGAGGGAGGAGAGGGAGAGGAGGAGGAGGGGAGGAGGAGGAGGAGGAGGAGGAGGGGGAGGACGTCTTGGGGAAACGGTCGGGACGTCCGGGGGTCGACGTCACGAAGACGTCAGGACGTCGTGCGTGCCTCGGACAGATAGGTTCTTTTGCTGCAGTTCCCGCCGTCTTGTTCTCGTGGGGCGCCCGGGTCCTGGTGCCGTCAGAGAGCCACGCATGTCGAAGGAATTCCGCGCGGATGTCTTGGACACATGTTCGCTGGGCCCTCCTGGAGGCGCCCCACGCGCCGCCCTTGGCGCGCTCCGTGCGCCGGGTAGGTGTCCAACGTCGACTACACGTAAGAGTGACCCGTTGCCAGAGTGACCTTTTCATGCGGGCCCATTTGGTTCCCCGGATCGCCGAAGGCGATGCGATAGTAGCAACTCGCGCGCTTGTGTTTGGTCCCCCCCCGCCGCTCCCCAATATGCCGCGCATCAAAGGTCACTCTTACCCAAGGTGACACTTGCGTGTAGCCGACAACGCCGATGCACGAGTGCCGCTCCGACCTCCGAGGGCCCGTTTTCCGACTCAGAGCGGCACCCTCGGCCGCGCGCTGCCCGAGGGCCACCCTCCACTCCGCACACCCTTTGCCCCCGCCTGCCGCCCAGTTCTGGGCGTGAATCGTGCCAGTGCATGTCGGGCAACCTTAAGTCGGACGTGTCCCTCTACAGGAGGAATATTTTAACATCGTGCAAACATAGTCATGGGACAGTTTTTTGACCATTCTTGATTTGTTGACTACTTGTCATTTGTCTTCAAAGTCCGCGTGTAGAAGGACATGCCCGACCTCAGGCCAATCTTGGGTCTGGGATGCGTCGGTGCATGGCATGCAAGGCGTCGACCTGAGGGCCCATTTGGGCTCGGGAGGGGCTTTGATGTCCGGTGCGCTCCCGATACCTGCGTCGGATGCGAAGCTGAAGCTCGCCGGGGCAGGAAAAGTCCCGTTCGTTTTTCTTCGGCGCTTCGCATGGCAGCATGATGGTTGCATTGGTCGTATGCATTGATGTCTGGGTTTAGGGTGGGCCTGGCCAGGATCGGCGTTGAGTTATTCAAGAAGGGAAACAAGCCCAGACACAATGAGTCGCCGATTCCCAGGAAGCGATTGCAAAATATGGGAAGTGAGAGGGAAGACGAAAGCCCAGAAAACATGGGAAACTATGGGGAACCCTGAGATTTGTGCGTATTGCTTCGTGTGCCCCTGGGCCCCTTCATTAATTATAGCTGGCGCCCTCCGAGAGAAGGCTCCTCTCGAGGCCCCCCGCGGAGGCGCTGGGCCTCCCAGCTTCTGCGCGGCTGCCTCCCCAACGAGTGCTGCCTTTTGTCGGGCCCGCGCCCTGCCAGTGCGGAAGGCAGGCGCCCTTCGAGCCCCAGCCCTGCTAGCTCCCCAGACCACCCCCCTCTCTCCCTTCGAAGAAAAACACGCCATGCACATAGACTTTTGCAGGCCACTCCCCCCCTCTCTCCCTCCGAACGAGAAAAACACAAGCGCCGCAAACCTGGACTTTGGGCGCTCCGCGCGCGGACTTCTGGGACCCGCGCTGAGAGCCCAGGAGGGACAAACACACAGAGGCACAACGAATCGCCGCTCCCCAGACCACTCCCCTTTTCCAACCTCGAAGGAGAACAACACAACGCCATAACAACCTGAACTTTTGGCGCTCCGCGCGCGGACGTCTGGGACCCGCGCTGGACCTCAGCAGGGAAAACCACACACACAGGCACAATGCATCGCCGGTCCCCAAGGGGAAGCACGGGAAAACATGGGAAAAGCTGGGGGGACAACGAACGTCCATACATGCTGGGAAATTGTAAAGGTAATCTTAGGTCGGGCCTGTCCCTCTACAGGAGGAATCTTCAAACATTGATTGGTTGTTCAAAGCCTTGGGACCACTTGTTGTTGATTTTTGTATTTTCTCTGGCATGTTTTGACTATTGTTTTTGTCGCCCAAAATCCCCCTGTAGGGGGACACGCCCGACCTCAGGGTAATCCTGTGTGTCTTTACCTGTGTGCCAGCCTGGGGCCCCTCACCGAGCTCCGCCCGCCTCCGGCCGCTGCTGCTCCTCTCCCTTTGCCGGCGCCCTTTCCTCCCTCCCTCGCCCCGTCTGTTCTGCCTTCTCCCCAGAGCCCTCCTGCTCCTGCCCCTCCTCCCGCTCCCGTCCCTGCTGCTGCGGTTCGTCTCGGCTCCGCGCGGGCCACGTCTCTGAATCCGAGTATTTCGTTCTTTCCTTCTCGTTGCCACCCCACACATTTCCCCTCCGCCTTCTTCCCAAGGCCCTTCCGTTCCTCCCAATGCTTCCGCTTCAGTTACTGCTGCTGCTGTCCAGCCTCGTTCCTTCCTCCCGCTCATAGTGCTGCTCATCCGAAGCCTCCTCCAGTGCACGCAGCTCCCTTTCTTCATCCGATAGCGCATAACATGACGTGGTCTTTCTGGGGGAGTCGCAGGTCGGCTATGACATGCGTCCGCGGATAGAGACAAATGAGCGACATGGGGAGGGATGGGAGGGAGGGATCGAGTGTCAGATGAGACGCGAGCGCACCTAGCTTGTCCTCCCCCCCTCACCCCCCCTTTCCTTCAATTTCTCTCCGCGCGCGCGCGGCGGGAAGTCTCCTTCAGGATTCGCTGTGTAGGCACGCGGGCGCAGGTATGCCGGGAGGACGACCGGTCCGCATCCCTGGGCCTCGGGCCCACGTGCGCAGCGCGCGCGGCGGGACGTCTCCCCGGCCCGAAGGCCCCCCCGCCGTCACAGCCCAGCGCCATCACGGCCTCCCCTGCCCTGCTCCCACCAGAAGGAGGAGGAGTAGGAGGAGGAGGAGGAGGAGGAGGAGGAGGAGGAGGAGGAGGAGGAGGAGGAGGAGGAGGAGGAGAGGAGAGGAGGGAGGCGGAGGGGGAGGAGGCGGGAGAGGAGGAGGAGGAGGCGGAGGGGAGAGGAGGAGGGGGAGGCGGAGGGGGAGGAGGCGGAGGAGGCGGAGGGCAGGAGGAGGAGGAGGCGGCGGAGGGGGAGGAGGAGGGAGACGGAGGACGCGCCCCCTCCTGCCCTTCCCCCCCCCGCTCCCAGCGCCCGCCGCGCCGCCGCAGTCGCCCGCGCGCCCGCGCACCCCGCTGCGCTCGGGCGCGCGGGGGGCGCCGCTGGCGCCGCTGCGGCCGCTCACGCCCGCCAGGCCCCTCGCCGAGGGGGCCCCGCGGCGGCGGCGGCGGCTGTCGTGAGCCCAGCCCCCCTCGCTGCGGGCAAGAGTATCGGGGGAGCGTAAGACCCGGGTTTGCCAGGACTAAGACCCGGGTTTGCCAGGACTCGGGTTCGCCATCGTTGTTTGACAACCGCGCCTCGGATTTTGACGAGTAGGAATTTCGTGGGATGTCTGCAGCGGGAGGCCTCGTCAAAATGCAGGCTCGGCCTCGTCATTATTTTGACGACCTCGTCGGGGATTTCCGAGTCCCCTGTACCTGGGTCTTACGCCCCTCTGATCGTGAGCCCAGCCCCCCTCGCTGCGGGCAAGAGCAAGTCGGGCGTGCTCCTCGACAGGAGGAACGTTCAAAAACAGTGCAGAAGTCGCCTGGGGACTATTTTTTTAAGAAAAGATGGATTGACGATTGGGGGGCATTCCTGGAGTATTTTTTCAGCCCAAAATCCCCCTGCAGGGGGACACGCCCGACCGAAGTGTAAGAGTTACGGCGGGCAGCTTTGCCAGCTTTCGGCCTCCGGTGGCCCTCGCTGGGCACTGGGACCGTCCACAGGCGGTTCGGGACATCGCAACGGAGGGAGGTGCCACAGGGCGGGGGGGGAGGGGGAGCTCGGTCCGTTCGCGCATCGAGCCGCAGAACAACGGTGCAGAACGAGGTCTCCGGCCGGGCCGCCGCCGGAACCCGAGATGCGTCGACAATCGGGGCGCGCGGGGGACATCGTTTCTCGGAAATTCGATGCACCAGCGGATCGAGCTCACCGAACGGCTCGGGTTGGGACGCCAGTGCGCGCGTGGGTTTGCCTCCTCCCCCCGTGGGCCTCCCTCAAGCCACGCGCCACACGTCACCTCTGCCTGGGGCCACGTCGCTGACGGCGAGGGAGGGGCAGGTAAGGTCTCGCCTAGTCAGGGGCCGCGTTGCAGAGCACGATTCCTCGGCGCGCTTAGGGCAGATCATTTCAAGAACTCGAGGGGCAAATACTGTTGGTTGGAAGGGCTGCTGGGGCGACGCGATCCTCGAAATCTGCTGTATGCCAAGGCCTCCCCGCCCCAGTCAGATGCCACCGCCTGGGGCCACGCTCACCATACAACCAGAACGCGCCCCATGGAGGGAATTGTGTATACGGTTGGGCCGAGGTCTGAGATCGAGGTCGGCTCGGGGAGGGCTCCCTGGTGTCATTCGTGCTTGTTGGATGCTCTTGTGAATCCCAGGGGAGAGAACCCTCGAGTGTGCTTCCGCTTGGCTGGCGGAGGGTCTCCCGTTCTTGGAGAATGCTTGTTTGCCCCAGGTCTGTACCTTTCTCTCTCTCTCTCTCACTCTCTCTCTCTCTCTCTCCCTCTGTCCCTGTCGCATTCCCTCCCTCCTCTCCTCTCCCCCCCGCTCCTTCACCGCCCTCTCCCCCGCCCTCCCCCCCCCTTACCTCCTCCCCGCCCCCCCCCCCCTTCCGCTCCCACCCTCCCCCGCCCCTCCCCCCGCCCTCCCCCTCCCTCTCCCCCGCCCTCCCCCTCCCCCCGCCCCTTCCCCGCCCCCCGCCTCCCCCCTCCCCCATCCCTCCTCCCTCCTCCCCCCTCGCCCGCCCCGCTGGAGCCGCGTCCAGGCTGCGGCCTGCGCCGCGCGCCGCGCGGCGACGCGACCCCAGCGCGCGGGCGTTCCAGGCGCACTCGGTGCCGCCCGCGGCCCCAGCAGGGGCCGCTGTCCAGCGACCTGCGGCATCGTCGGCATCGTTTATCCGATCCCCATCCCCATCCCCATCCCCCTCGAGATCCCCGCCAAAATACCACCCCAGTTGGCGATGCGTCCCTCGAAGCCCGAAGGGAGCGGCCTCTATCCCCGTCTAGGGGGGTAGATCGGCCAGTGGGGCCCAGGCCACGCCGCTGGGGATGGGGGTCGGTTGAACGATACTCATATTGGGGAGCCGCGTTCAGGGTGGAACGATCCACGCAGCGTCAGGAACCAGCGCCCGCGGCTTCGCGATGCGAGCCAGCCTGCAAAGCGCCTTCCCCGCCAACAGGACTTCTCTCCCGTGGAGAGGCGCGCCTTCCCCGCCAAAGCTTGGCTCTTTCTGTGGGAAGTCTCCTCTCTTGCAGCCGCTTCGACCGAAACTTCGCTCGCCTCGGAGTGAAGGGAGACCTTGGATCCGATAGTTCTCTGCTTTGCTTCGCCCTCCCTTCCTCCTCCAGCCTTGCCACCGCTCCCCCCCTGCCCGCCCCTCATGTGAGCCCCCCTCGCACCCCCACCCCCCTGGGCGCCGCAAGCGATCCGATTCGAACCGATTCGATTCGTGGATTGCGCCCGCGATTCCGGATTCGATTCGACCTGGATCGATTCACCGGCATCGGCTGGAGCCATCACAAGACGGGCGCGGAGATCCGATCGGAGGCAGTTGTTTCTATAGATGCTGGCAGGTCTTCTTGCATGGAGGGGACGGAGGGGGGCTTGGTGAGGCCCGACAGCGAATCTGGACTTCACACAAGTCGGCACTCACTTGCACGCCAGCGGCGGATGGGGGAGGGGCGGGGGGGAGCCATGCAAGCAGATTTGCCTGAGTCTGTAGGATAGCAGCCTCGTTCCAGTGCGGCTCGGCGCGATTCGTTGGCGATCCGATCTTTTCCCAATGCAGTCAACCTGCATAGTAAGGATGAACGGCTTTCCAAGGTTATTATTGCATCCTTGCCCCGTCGGCCCATCCCTGGCAACTTGCGCAGGCCATCCCCACTCGCAAAACACCATCATGGTTTTTCAAGGTGTTCTTACTACACGGGCTGATTGTACATTCCAATTTCTCGAGTCGATCTTGCCAAGGCCTGCTTAGGGCGTTCCAGAACGCTATTACAGCGTTCCGGAACGCTCTGAGACGGCCGCGGCACCCGAGATACCCTCCCGAGCAGAGATTCTCGATTTACAGTCAATCCGCATAGTAAGGGTGGGAAACCTTCCCAAGGATGTCCTTGCACCCTTGCCCCTTCGGCCCATCCTTACCGACTTTCGCTGGCCATCCTTGTTCGAACGCGAACATGGCCCCCCCAAGGCCCTTGCATCCTTACTGTGGAGACCCATGTCAAGAATCATCCTGCTTGCCTCCATGGTCCCCTGGGTTTCTTGGGTTTCGATTGTTTTGCGATTGGAAGCGTGACGTCCGTCCCCACACCAAACATCAATGGACGTCCTGGGGTCTCAGGGTTGGACTTCTTTGGAAGGTTTCTTGTGGTCTGGCCTTCACGGGACTGCGCATCCTTATGATACGTGTGGACTGTAGCTCCACCCGAATTAAGCCTCGTCCTGTCTTCGCCGCAGACGCTCCACTTCTGCGCGGTCCCCTCTCGCTCGGGCCCGCCTCGGCCGCGCTGCCGCCGCCGCGGCCCTCCAGCCTCGCCCCCTTCCCCCCCCCCTTCGGTGGCGCATGTGGGCCTAGCATACTTTCCTAATTCCGCCTTTAGGCCTTGACTTCGTCTCGAGGCGTCGATCAGCGTCTGGGAGTCGATGAGACAGCGCCGATCAAACGTCGATGTAGCGTCGATGCAGCGTCGACGCAGCGTCGATTATCGCCGCAGCGTCGATTAGCGCCGATTCGCAAGAGTTGACAAGATGGTATGGGAGGCTCTGCCACCGAACGGTCCCCCGGCCTCGCGCCCTCCAGGAGGAGGAGGAGGAGAAGAGGAGGAGGAAGAGGAAGAGGAGGAGGAGGAGAAGGAGGAGGAGGAGGAGGAGGAGGATGAGGAGGAGGAGGAGGAGTGAGAGGAGGTGGAGACGGATGATGATGATGATGATGATGATGATGATGATGATGATGATGATGATGATGATGATGATGATGATGATGATGATGATGATGATGATGATGATGATGATGATGATGATGATGATGATGATGATGATGATGATGATGATGATGATGATGATGATGATGATGATGATGATGATGATGGAGGAGGAGGAGGAGAAGGAGGAGTAGGAGGAGGAGGAGAGGGAGGGGAGGAGGAGGAGGGGGAGGAGGAGGAGGAGGAGGAGGAGAAGAGGGAGGAGGTGGAGGAGGAGGAGAAGGAGGAGAAGAGGAGGAGGAAAAGGAGGAGGAGGAGGAGGAGGAGGAGGAGGAGGAGGAGAGGGAGGAGGAGGAGGAGGAGGAGGAGGAGCAGGAGGAGGAGGCGGAGGAGGAGGAGGAGGAGGAGTCGGAGGATAAGGAGGAGGAGGAGGAGGAGGGGGAGGAGGGGGAGGCCCCGCCCCTGCCGCGCGCCCGCGGGCGGGCGCGCCCAACAGGGTGGCTATCCCCATCCTTGGCCCGCTGGGCCCCCTGGTGTCGCCCTCGCTGTCAATGCCGCGCGGCCCAGCGGGCGGGGCGGCGAGGAGGACGACGAGGACGACGGCGACGACGACGACGACGGCGACGACTACGAGGACGACAAGGACGACGATAGCGCGACGGCGACGACGACGACGACGAGGACGGCGGCGACGACGCCGACGCCGACGACGAGGACGGCGACGACGAGGACGCTGACGACGAGGACCTCTACGACGACGAGGACGACGACGAGGACGACGGCGACGACGCCGACGCCGACGACGACGACGATTACGAGGACGAGGACGAGGACTAGGACGAGGACGACGACGACGACGACGACGACGACGACGACGACGGAAGTGCCGACGGCTGCGAAGGAGCGAGCGCGTGCTGGAAAGGGGTGCGTTGGCAGAGGGGATCGGAGAAGACGATGGTGTTGAAGATCAGGCGACGGTAATCTAGGGGAACGAACAATGACATAAGCATAACAATTCGGAGGTCCTTGCGGATTTCTCGGATCCGCGCTGCACCCCACTGGCGGCGCCTCCAGCGCCCGTCCCTGGCGCCCTCCGCGCGCCATGGGGCGTTGAAGACCCGACAATTGGCGTTTACTAGACGGCCCTGGGCGTTTACTTCACAGCCCTGCCCATGGTCGATTCTTTGTGTGGGTGCGCTTGCAAAGCGGCCTCGCGTGCCTGGGTGATCATCATGGGGGTGGGTTTGTTGCCCTCTACTCTTCGTTCTTCTGCGGCCGCCTGCCTCTTCCTTCCCCCCAGCATGCGGGACAATTCGCAACGCCGCAGCCCCGGCTGCTCGACGCGCGAGCGGATCGCTTCTGCCGCGCCGCGACGGAACACTTTTCGGTGTTGTTAGCTCTGCGCGCAGAGCGGGAGGAACAGGAGGCAGCAGGAACGGGAAAGCGGGAGAGAAGACGGCATGGAAGGCAGGGAGCAGCCTTGAACCAAAAACAACCAACGCTCTTAACATTGAGATCCACAGCGATGGGCCTCAAAACGCGATCAACGATTACTGAATTCGCTAAGAACCATTGCGTATGTGTAGCGATTGCAGTTTGTCAAGAGTCCAACGCCAACACGATAAACTAGACAAGCTCCCAGCTTGTTTTTTCAAGCAGGACGGTTGTTCGTTTTGTGCGCGTGCGTGTTTATCATGGTGTGCCCTCCTCCCCGTTTACCCGTTTTGAATTCAACGTAGTGATGTTTCGTCCCGTGTCCCATGCCCCCTCGCGCGAGAAGCGTTGAACAGGTGCAGAGTTTGACCGACTTCGAAGTCGCATGACTTTTTTGGTTTTCCTCCCGTCCCAGCGAGCTCGGTCCAATTATATTTTCGCATGGCGGCGTCGAGTTACCAGTCTTTGGGACACGGTTGTGGGGCGTCGGTTTGGCGTCTGGTGGTTGCCAGCCCCGATGTTATCATCGTCTCACTCCGCGTCTAGCCTCTCGCAGGGGAAGGGGTCGGTGGAGGAACCGGAGCACGGACAGGGGGGGGGGAGAACGATGAGGGCGATGAAGGCGAGGAGGACACGATTGGGGTGGGGGAGGCATGGGGAGGCGGGGGACGAGCAAGAACCATGAGGAGGGGGAGGTGGTGGACGCGCAGGGACCTCAGCAGACGGGGGGGGGATGCGGACGGCGGTTGCACGGCGGCTGGACGGCGGAGCGAGCAGCGGAACGAACGGCGCGGACGGCGGCTGGCGACAGCTCCCTCTCTCGCCAAGGCCAGTGGGCGACGCGCCGGCGACGAACCGCTCGCTGGCCAGCCCTAGGTCCGGAGCGAGCGGGGACAATACAGTGCCGTTTTTAATACATGCTCCGCTTGCGGATCATGTATTAAAGTACAGGGATTGAGTATTAAACACAACGATGAGTTCATGCATAAATTCATTCGTAAATAAATCATGTATTAACAAATCGATCTTTTTGAAATCCTATATATACACATATATATATGTATTAAGAACTGCCCTGTAGGCCAGAGGAGGATATGGCACCGATGCCGCTGCCCTCGCCTCGTTTTCGCCTTCATGGACCTGCTGGGAGGCCCTCGTCGCCCCCGCGGGATTCGCCTCGGAAGAACTCTGGTCGGAGCGCAAAACGGGAGCTGTACCTATTTGTTTCCCCAATCGTCGTCGCCACGGCTGGACTGGGGGGACAGTGTCGAGAGGAGGATCGAGGGACGGACCCTGAGCCTGCTGGCGTCGTGAACAAAATCATGACGGCCGTGTTTTGCCAATGTTTCGCCCTCGAAGTGGACAGCCTGTATGGGAAGGGGTTCGGACCTTTGGGGGCCCACGTCGTGCACAAAAACACATTAGCCTGGCAAAGAACCCAACCATGTGCAGTTGTGAATACCGCAGTTGTGGGTATCCTCTTCCGTGGAGCTCCCTCTGGGCCACGAAAGGCCGTAATGCGTGGAGAAGACGCATGCAAACTGCGCCACGGGGACCTTCGGTTGAGCTCCCTATGCGGCAACGAAGCGCTGTACTGGGTGCGGGAGACGCATCAGTTTTTTCAGTGGAGCTCCTTCTGGGGTCACGAAACGTTGTATTGAACGGAGACGACGCATTCGAACTGCGCCATTGGGACCTTCGGTGGAGCTCCCTATGCGGCCACGAAACGTTGTACTGGGCGGGGGAATCGCATGCGAACTGCGCCACTGGGACCTTCGGTGGAGCTCCCTCTGGGGCCACGAAACGCTTCACTGGGCGAGAGAACCGCATGCGGACTGCTCCATTGGAATCTTCGGTGGAGCTCCCTCTGGGGCCACGGAACGCTTCACTGGGCGGGAGAACCGCATGCGGACTGCTCCATTGGAATCTTCGGTGGAGCTCCCTCTGGGGCCACGGAACGCTTCACTGGGCGGGAGAACCGCATGCGGACTGCTCCATTGGAATCTTCGGTGGAGCTCCCTCTGGGGCCACGGAACGCTTCGGGCGGGAGAACCGCATGCGGACTGCTCCACTGGGCGGGGTAACCGCGTGCGGACTGCGCCACTGGAACCTTCGGTGGATCCCCTATGGGGCCACGAAGCGCTGTACTGGGTGGGGGAACCGCATGCGAACTGCGCCACTGGGACCTTCGGTGGAGCTCCCTCTGGGGCCACGAAGCGGTGGAACCGCATGCGGACTGTGCCACTGGGACCATCGGTGGAGCTCCCGAAGGTGCCACGGAATGCTGTACTGGGTGGGGGAACCGCATGCCGACTGCGCCACTGGGACCTTCGGTGGAGCTCCCGAAGGTGCCACGAAAACGCTGTACTGGGTGGGGGAACCGCATGTGGACTGCGACATGGGGATTTTCAGTGGAGCTCCCTCTGGGCCACGAAACGCTGTACTGGGTGCGGGAGACGCATGCGGACTGCGCCATGGGGATCTTCCTGGGGCTTTCTGGGAGGCCTCCTGGATCCTCCGGGGCGTTCTGAGGCCTCCTGGTGGTTTCCCCGTGGCCTCCTGGGGCTTGCTTGAACCTCGTGGGGGGGGCGGGGGCGGGGGGGTCTGGGCGCCATAACACCGCTTGATTTTGAAAGAACTGGTCCCCGATGTTTGCCCTAACGGTAGGTGTTATGGCGCCCCATTGAGCTTTCGGTGCGCGCGACGCCCTGTGGACCTTTCCTGGGGCTCCCTGGCGGGTTCCCGAAGCCTCCTGGAGCGTTCTTGTGCCTCCTGCTGGCTTCCGGGGGCCTCCTGGAGCTTGTTGGGGCCTCCTGGGAGGGCGTGACGCCGCCATAACACCACTCGATGTTGGCAGAAAGGCTGCCCGATTTTGCCCAAATCGGCCAGTGTTATGGCGCCCCTCTGGCTGTCGGTGCCTGCGACCCTTTGTTGACCCTCTGGCCCTCCTGGAGCCTCCTGGGAAACTCCTGAGGCGTTTTTGGGGCTTCATGGTGGCTTCCCGAGGGGGCCTCCTGGGGCTTGCTGGGGCCTCCTGAGGATGAGTCTCGGCACCACAATACCGTTTGGAAGAACTACTCCCATGTTTTGCCCAATATGGTCGGTGTTATGGCGCCCCCTGGGCTTTCGGGGCCCTCGACGCTTTGTGGACCCCGCGGACCTTCTGGGGCTGCCTGGTGGCTTCCTGGAGCGTCCTGCCTGGTGTGTTCTGGTGCCTCTTGGTGGCTTCCTGGAAGCCTAGGCGCCATAACACCGCTCGATTTTGGCAGAACGGGTCCCCGCTTTTGCCCGTATCGGCCGGCGTTATGGCGCCCTCTGAATTTTCGTTGCCCGCGACGCTTTGTGGACGGTGCCGCCCTCCTGGAGCTTCCTGGGGGCCTCGAGCCTCCTGGGGCGTTCTGGTGCCTCCTGGTGGCTTTCGCGGGGCCTCCCGCGGCTTGCTGGGACTTTCTGGGGGAGGGCCAGCGCCATAACGCCTCTTGATTTTTGGAGAACTGGTCCCCGATGTTGCCCAAATCGGCCAGCGTTTGGCGCCCCTGGAGCTTTCAGTGCCCGCGACGCTCTGTGGACCCTGAGGCCTTCCCGGGGCTTCCTGGGAGCCTCCTGGATTCCGTGGGGAGTTCTGGTGATTCCTGGTGGTTTCCTGGGGGCTTCCTGAGGGCTTGTTGGGGCCTCCTGGGAGGAGGTTCCGGCGCCACACCAGTCTATTTTGGCAGAACGGGTGCCCGATTTTGCCCAAATCAGTCGGTGTTATGGCGCCCCTTGGGCTTTCAATGCCCGCGACGCTTTGTGGACCCTGCGGCCCTCCTGGGGCTTCCTGGGAGGCTCCTGGAGCGTCCTGGTGCCTCCTGATGGTCTCCTGGGGGCCTCCTGGGGCTTGCTTGGGCCTCGTGTGGGGGGGGGATGGTCTGGGCGCCATATCACCGCTTGATTTTGGAAGAACTGGTCTCCGATGTTTGCCCAAAATGGTCGATGTGATGGCGCCCCTCGGGCTTTTGGGGGCCCTCGACGCTCCGTGGACCTCGTGGCATTCCTGGGGAGCCTCCGTTTGGGAGGGCGTCTCGGCGTCGCAGCACCGCTCGATTTCGGGAGAACGGGCCGGTGCCCAGACCGGTCGGTGCTGTGGCGCGGCGTTTTGTGGGCCCTGCGGCCCTCCCAGGTCTTCCTGGAGCCTCCTAGGGGCTTCCTGGAGGGGGGCGACGCTCGCGGCAAGCTGCGGTAACCAAAGGCTAGCGGCAATGAGAGGCGGCGTGGTAAGCGGCAAGCAACATGGTTTTCTGTTTGCGGCAAGCGGCAAGCGGCAAGAAACATTGAGTCTTGCGGCAAGCGGTAGAGGCCCCCCAAAACGGTAACTATAAAGATCCCTGTCAACCATGAATTTCTCGGGTCTTTCGTTCTAAGAGCCTTCTTGGAGGCAGGGCTCTTGGGGTTATCTTGGGGCCATGTTGGCTGCTCTGGGAGCGCTCTTGAAGCTCGCTGTAATTCCTCTTGGTGGCCTGGGGGACGCCTGAGCCTGATTTCAGAGCGCTCCAGCTGGCGAGGACCTCCAGCTGTGCTTCCTTTGGCAGCAGATCCAGTGCGATCCGACTCCGTGACGCACCTTACGGCTCAATCCAGGTCTCCGCTGCAGTGCTGATTGATCATGGCCTTTCGCTCCCCAGACACCCGACGCCCTGACTTGATCACGATGTGGAGCCCCTGGGCTGGCTTCTCCTCCCAAGACGCTTTGGAATGGCCCATGGGCCCTTTGAGTCGGGGGGAGGAGAAGCGACACCAACACCACCAGGGGGGCCACCTCCAGAGAAGATGTCCACGATGCCTCCTCGAGCTGGAGGCTGGGGATCTCTCGAGCGAGAGGGGGGGGCCACACCACCGGGGAGACCCCTCTTGCTCTTCGCATCTCATCGCCCTGGTGGTCTTGGTGTCGCCTTTTCCCTTTTCCTACTTGAGGGCCCACCGAGCCCGAGCGCTGTCCAGCAGACTCTCTTGTTTTTGTTTGACGACGCGCTCATCGATGGAGAGCCAACTGCTGCTGCTGCTGCTGCTGCTGCTGCTGCTGCTGCTGCTGCTGCTGCTGCTGCTGCGGCGGCTCTCCCGCCAGGCCCGCCCGCCCGGTCAGCATGGGCCCCCCACGGAGACCCCCCTTCGGGGTGCACCCCGGACCCGCCCTCGGCGGCCAGCCCATTGGGGGCATCGCCAGCCAGCGATAGGGGGGGGGGAGTTCGAGGTTCGAGGTTGATGGGCCTGTTTTCCACCACCACCATAAGTTGGAGGGTCGGGGGTCATCCTCCTCCTCCACCATAAGTTGGAGGGGGGGTCCTCCTCCTTCTCCTCCTCTTCGACCTCCTCCTCCTCGTCCTCCGCCTTCCCCCATCCAACTTTTGGTGGTGGTGGTGCAAAACAGGTCCTCCAGTGGTTCGAAGTTTTCGTATCTCGTCGTCGGTTCTCGACGATTCTCCAGCCTCGGGGTGCGCTCCAGCAGCTGCGCCTCGCCGAGAGAGCGCACTGGGGGTGCCCGGCTCGCCCCGAGCGGCCACGGGAGAGCCAAGCGGAGACCGAACCGAAGATCCACCGTGCGTCCGAGAGGGGGCGGGCCCTGTCAGAAGGCTCGGAAGTCCCCCGGCCTCTTGAGAATGTGTTCGGAAGCTTCCCCGAAGACGCAGCCCTTGGACCCCCTCGAGGTCCATCCTGGCCCGCTCTCGGCGGCCAGCCCAGGGGGGGAGCGCGAGGGTTGCTCATAGCCTCCGCTGCAACGCGCTCTGGGAAGCTCGGCGAGTCACTGGCCCGCAAGTGATCCCGTACTGGGCGCCGGCGGCAAGGCGTCAACCAAGGCTTACCGACGGTGGGCACGTAGAGCTGCTGCCCGAGCCCAGGCGCTTCTAGAGAATCATGCTTGATCAAGCTCTCGAGGCTGTCGACCAGTGCTCCTCGACGCTGGTGAATCGGTTGCTGCAACGGAGAGCTCTGTTGCTGCTCCAGCCCGCGAACTTACGCAGAAGGACTGCGCAAAGCAGAAGAATGGCTGGAAGGCTCGGAAGTCCCCCGGCCTTTCTGGAGAATATTTCTGGAGAATCTTTCTAAATTTTCCCCGGAGACACACGAAACCTCTTGCAAGGTGGGAGGGCTTCTGAGAAGCCCCGCCGCTTTCGTAAAGGGCCTTTTCCTTCTCTCTCCGTCCCTCGCTCGCCGCCGACGTTCGTCGACGCGCACCCAGCCGCGGCGACGAGAAGCTTGCAGGATGCCCTCCATGGGGCGAAAACGACATCCTGGATGGTCGCCCTTGTTCAGAATCCCGAGTCATCGGGGCTCGGGGTGGCCAGGGGTAGCTACAGATTCGTGCCTTGGGGGCCCAAGCCGGAGTTACCCCGTCCCGCAGCTATCCCGGATTATTCGGACGTTCAAGCTTCCCGAATCCTCGGGGTATTTGCTGGTTCGGGCGTCGGGGGCCCAAAGTGGAGTTGCCCCAGAGCAGAGCCATGCTGAATTGACTCGGGCGTCCGCCTTGTCTCGACGGGGAGTTTGCTCACGATGCGAGAGTCTAGGCCTCCCAGATGGGGTCCGAGTAGATAGGGGTCGGAGGATCGCGCCGCGTCGCCGATGCATCGCCGATGCGGAGCCCGATTTGCTTCACGTCGACACCGCCGATGCATCGCCCACATCGACGATGCATCGCCGGTGCATCGCCGATGTATCGGCGGCGCGGCGCGACCCTCCGACCCCATCTACTCCGACCCCATCTATCAGGAGCGAAAGAAGGACGTACAAGCACATGAATCCACGCTGGTTTCGAGAGTACGCCTTGCACAAATGTTCGTACAACGCGGCCAGCCTCGCGGATCGAAGGGCCGTGCTCATGCACATAGCTGGGCGCGTACGTCCTTTGTGGGCTCCCTAATCTAGAATGCCTCGACAGAGTGGTTCAGGTCGCGCGCCCGCCCCGCGCCGCCCCCGCTCCTCCTCCTCCTCCTCCTCCTCCTCCTCCTTCTCCTCCTCTACAATTACTCAATATGAATACTACTCTCCCTCTTCCCCTGATGACGTGCTGGGAGTGTTCGCCCCCCCCCGCGTCCTGTTTTTTTACACAGGTTTCCCGGGAGTTGGGTTTTCGCTTGCATTTTTTTCAAAATGCTGCTCTCGCTGAGGCGCCGGCCTCATTTTCGGGCCCCGCTCGTTCCGAATCGTGCTCCCGCTGCAGCGCTGGCCTCATTTCCGTGCTTCCGCTCGTTCCGAATCGTGCTCCCGCTGCAGCGCTGGCCTCATTTCCGCGCTTCCGCTCGTTTCGACTCGTGCTCCCGCTGCAGCGCTGGCGTCATTTCCCGTGCCATGCCACGGCGTGCAATGCAATGCTAGGTTGATACTACGCTTTGCGGTGCTCTTCTACGCCATGCCATGCCGTGCTCTACAATGCATCGCGTACCCTTTCGGGATCATTGCCCTGCTCGACATCCGACTGTGCGAGTAGAGAGGGGATCTGCGCCATGGTAAGGGATGGGAGGGAGGGGTAGGATGTCAGATATGACGCGAACGCACCTAGCTTGTTCCCCTCCCCTTCCCCCCCCCCCCCCCCCCCTCCCCCTCCCCTCCTCCTCCTCCTCCTCCTCCTCCTCCTCCTCCTCCTCCTCCCCTCTCCTCCTCCTCCTCCTCCTCCTCCTCCTCCTCCTCCTCCTCCTCCTCCCCCCCCGCCCGAGAGGTCGATGCCCCTGCTCCCGCCCCCCAGCCAGCAGCCCGTCCTCTACGCCACGCCCGGCGGCGGCAACGGCCGCGGCCCGGGTTCCTCCGGCAGGGTGCCCGCCGCAGGCGACGAGGGCGCCGCCGCGCAGAGCGCCGCCGTCGAGAGCGCCGCCCTCGAGAGCGTTGTCGTCGTCGTCTTCGTCGTCGTCATCGTCGTCGTCATCGTCGTCGTCCCGTAGCCATTTTGGCTCAAGATGTTTGCGTTTTGGGGGCTCCGCGCCTCCGTGCCTGAACGGACACCGCTGTCACCGCGGCTGGCAAGGTCTCTTGAGACCTGGCATATTTTTCCCATTCCCTGCACATCCCGTCCCCAGCATCTGAGCCATGGCCCGTGGCGCACCGTGGCGTAACAAGGATGCTGATGCTGGTGCTGATCATGGCTTCGCGTACTCTCCATGGAGACTTTCCTGGCAGCATGTCAGCGGCTGGGGAACGCGCGGCGGCCGTGCAGGCCGTGGGCGAGATGTCTCCCGCCCCTCCAGTGGTTACAGTGTTTGCAGCAAATGCTACACTTGGAGTCCAAACATCGCGGACATCCATGCTGCTCCAAGTGTGGTGGTGACTACTAGGGAGTGGATCCCAAAATTGACAAATGCGCGATGGACTATGATGAGCCAGACACACCAGCCGACGACGAGGAATTACGGAACGCCGCCAACCTTCTACTACGTGCCCGTCCTGAGCTACGGGTTCATCTTGAGACAATGGCTGCACCTGCTCCATCCCTTCCTGCAGAGTGGAGTCAACAACAGCTTGATGCTGGTGCGCGTGAGGAGCGTACCCGACTGGCGAAGGAGCTCGAAGCTGCGGCACGTGCTGAGAGGATCGCGCACCAGGACATCAGTTTCCGAGAGGAGAAGTGCAACAAGTTGCGCAACCAACTCCAGGAAGCGGAGATGGCCCTGGCCGAGGCCGCTAATGAGCTCAACAATGCCAAGACTGTGCGGCAGGCTGTCGGATGCTGCGCTTCAGGGTTTCGTGCCAGAGACCTGGAAGAACAACAAGGTGGCCGAGATCAAGCGTGAGCGAGAACAGGCTTCCTCTCCTCCTCAAGGTGTGCCAGGTGGAGCATCCCCTTCCGTGGGTGCTGTTGGTGCTCCTGGAGGGGGAGGTGCACCTCATGTCGCGGCTGCTGCACCAGGAGGCCGTGGGCGACCAGGAGGAGCTGCGGCTGGCGCGGCTGGCTTGGCCCCACCCGATCTTGCCCAGGCCGCTGATTCCGATCTACTCGCACGGTGTACTTCCCATGGTCAATCTTGTGAATACTGGAAGGCCATGCGAGACCTACATAATGAAGTTTCCAGAGGGATTGACGAGGCCATGTCTGACGCAGGCTCTACCATCGGAGACCCTGAAGAGATCGCTCGCGAGCTTGCTGACATCCGCAAGAGATCCTTGGAACACGCCCTTACCAATGAGGAGGCCGAGCGCATGGAGAAGCTCATGTCCAAGCAGGCCCGTGTCGTGGGCGCCAAGCGTGTTCGCGTGGCTGGCACGAAGGTGGAGCAGACTTTCAAGCGGCTGTTGGAGCAGTCGGGATGGGCTCCACCTTCGCAGGCCTCAGCAGCATCGGCTGGCAGCTCATCCCCTCCTGGAGCGCTCTGGCCAAGGGGTTTGCGGCCCGTGCGCGGGCCTTCTGCGACGGTTTCTTCCTGGCCGAACATCACCTCACTGGTGATGGGTTTAAACTGTTTAAGAAAGCCGGGTCCCAGATGCGATGGCGACCCCACATGCAGTCAGCAGATCCTTCCCCTGGAGGGGGAACCCATGGTGGCGTTGCGGCTCTTGTGAGCCGTGGCCTTTGTTTTCGGCGCTATCTTTCCCTTGTCAAAAACGTTTTGGATATCGGCTCTGGGACTGGTCGGTTTTTTTCCTGGAGCTGAAAACCAAGTCTTTCTGTCTTGCTGTAGGAGTTGCGCACGCGGCATCTGGCCCGGGGGCTGCGGGGGAGAACCTGGGCAAAATGAAGGGGATTCGTGCGTTCATTGGAACGCTGGCCACACCATGGCTGTTAATGGGAGATTTTACTTTCTCTGTCGAGGATATGCACCTCTCAGGTTTCCCCCAGCTCACTCGCTCCAGACTCCCCCCCTCTTCTGATCTGGAAATCACATGCACAAAGGGGAAAGGCTCACTCATTGATTATGTACTGGTTAGTGCTGATTTTGGACCTTATGTTACTGCACGTGGATATGAAGATTCCCCGTTCAAAACCCATGCTTGATTGCAGATTGACATCCAGATTAGAGTACTTGACCAGTCCATGTGGAAGCGCCGTCGGCCATTCCCTATCCCTCAATGTTTTGGTCCTGATCTTCCTTGGGAACATTACCTTGGACGTGTTTCGCTTGATGACCCAGTGGGACCCCTTGGGCCTCTCCTGGACGCTTTCCTGCAACCTTCTACTACGTGCCCGTCCTGAGCTACGGGCCCATCTTGAGACAATGGCTGCACCTGCTCCATCCCTTCCTGCAGAATGGAATCAACAACCACTTGATGCTGGTATGCGTGAGGAGCGGACCCGACTGCACGTGCTGAGAGGATCGCGCGCCAGGGCATCAGTTTCCGAGAGGAGAAGTGCAACAAGTTGCGCACCCAACTCCAGGAAGCGGAGATGGCCCTGGCCGGGGCCGCTAATGAGCTCAACAATGCCAAGACTGCGCGGCAGGCTGCGGACGCTGCGCTTCAGGGCTCCGTGCCAGAGACTTGGAAGAACAACAAGGTGGCCGAGATCAAGCGTGAGCGAGAACAGGCTTCCTCTCCTCCTCAAGGCGCGCCAGGTGGAGCACCCTTTTCCGTGGGTGCTGCTGGTGCTGCTGGACGGGGAGGTGCACCTCATGCCGCGGCTGCTGCACCAGGAGGCCATGGGCGACCAGGAGGAGCTGCGGCTGGCGCGGCTGGCTTGGCCCCACCCGATCTTGCCCAGGCCATTGATTCCGATCTACTCGCACGGTGTACTTCCCATGGTCAATCTTGTGAATATTGGAAGGCCATGTGAGACCTACATAATGAAGTTTCCAGAGGGATCGACGAGGACATGTCTGATGCAGGCTCTACCGTCGGAGACCCTGAAGAGATCGCTCGCGAGCTTGCTGACATCCGCAAGAGATCCTTGGAACACGCCCTTGCCAATGAGGAGGCCGAGCGCATGGAGAAGCTCATGTCCAAGCAGGCCCGTGTCGTGGGCGCCAAGCGTGCTCGCGTGGCTGGCACGAAGGTGGAGCAGACTTTCAAGCGGCTGTTGGAGCAGTCGGGATGGGCTCCACCTTCACAGGCCTCAGCAGCATCGGCCGGCAGCTCACCTCCACCACCTGCACGTGGGCATGGTGGGTAACATCCCAGCAGATCCACCGCATGATGTTGAGCCTGGTGCCGTGCGTGGGATCCTCTGCTGAGATCTGAGCCTACCATGCCTGCTAGTGACCCGGTCACTCAATCATCTGCTGCTGAGTCAGACTTGTCAGTCGTCACTCTTCTTTTTGCGAATGTTACCTCCTGGAGCGCTCTGGCCAGGGGGTTTGCGGCCCGTGCACGGGCCTTCTGTGATGGTTTCTTCCTAGCCGAACATCACCTCATCGGTGATAAGTTGAAAATGTTTAAGAACGACGGGTCCCAGATGCGACGGCAACCCCACATACAGCCAGCATATCCTTCCCCTGGGGGGGACCCATGGTGGTGTTGCGGCTCTTGTGAGCCGTGGCCTTTGTTTTCGGCGCTATCTTTCCCTGGTCAAAAACGTTCTGGATATCGGCTCTGGGACTGGTTGGTTTTTCCTGGAGCTGAAAACCCAGTCTTTCTGTCTTGCTGTAGGAGCTTGGTACATGGTATCTGGTCTGTGTGTTGCGGGGGAGAACCTGGGCAAAATGAAGGGGATTCGTGCGTTCATTGGGACGCTGGCCACACCGTGGCCGCTAATGGGAGGTTTAAATTTCTCTGTCGAGGATATGCACCTCGCAGGTTTCCTCCAGCTCCCTCGCTCCAGACTCCTCCCTCCTTCTGATCTGGAAATCACATGCACGCAGGGGAAAGGCTCACTCATTGATTATGTACTGGTTAGTGCTGATTTGGGACCTTATGTTACTGTGCGTGGACATGAAGATTTTCCGTTCAAAACCCATGCTTGCTTGCAGATTGACATCCAGATTAGAGTACTTGACCAGTCCACGTGGAAGCGCCGTCGGCCATTGCCTATCCCTCAATGTTTTGGTCCTGATCTTCCTTGGGAACATTGCCTTGGGCGCGTTTTGCTTGATGACCCAGTGGAACCCCCTGGGCCCCTCCTGGACGCTTTCCTGCAGCATGTTCTGGGCCACCTGTCGCCTGAGGTCGCTCACATGTATCGTGCGTGGCCTGTTGCTACTGAGCTCATGCTGAAGTCTCGTGCGGGGGTATGCCCAGATGTTGGGTTTGAGATCGATCGTGGTGGTTTCATGCAGTTTCAACGTTCCAGGAGTGCTCGAAGGGGCGATCTCGACCAGAGTTTCCAGGACCCAATGCTTTGCCACTGGTCTCATTTCGCCCAGAAGTTGATTGAGTATCAGATTGCACTACGACGACGTGGGCATGTGCGTGCCCAATTTCTTGCCCAGCATCTTGCTGGACTTGCTCCAGCTTTTGAACAGTCCATGCCTGGCGATGCCCCGCAAGTGGCTTCATGGTGGCGGACTCAGTTAGCGGCCCCGCCTGGCGATGATGGGCCGACACTCACCGCTCTCTGCGAGTCCGCATCTGAACATCTTAAACTGGATTGGGCAGCCGCCCACACTGCAGCTACGGCTGGCCAGAAGGCCTGGCGTTTTAAGGCCTTCCCGTACGGCGCGAAGGAGGTGCATGCTTGGATTCGCGATGATTCTGTTGGGGAGATTGGGTATCTCAGTACCCCAGATAGTGCGAAACAGCCCCCAGGGGATCTCATGGAGTACCGTGCCGAATACTGGGGGGGGGAGGGGCTCTGGAAGGCTGGTGATGCTAAGCGAGCCTCCATACGTGAAGCACTTTCTGACCTTCGCCCATTGGCTGTGCAGGCCATTGAGTTATTGGAGCCGCTCGAGTCTGCAGACGTTGTT